AGTGGCTTAAGGATGATTTTAGATACTAAAGCATGAAAACACTTATGAAAATAACATACACTAACATTCCGACTCTTTTATATTCTAAATTTCATATTTCTCATGCTTACTACAAAAAAGATTCATAGGACGATATCCTACACAAAATCACCTTGACCAAAATTACGTGACATCAATATAATCAGACCTATTCTGATTTTGAATAGATTAAATATTTTATCTTGACTATTTAAACTGAGGTTATTTTTAATTTACCTATTTTCTGAAGTATCAACTTAAATTAAATTACGCAACATATTAGTGATTCGACTTCCTACGTAGTAGTAACTCACTGAAGAAAATGGTTGATGTGTCGCTCAATTTCGTGGATTAGTTGAAGTTAGACATTAACACCGTTGGATGCAGGCCGGCTCAGTGGCCTAGTGGTTAATTGCTCGTACGCGAAACCAGTAGGTCCTAGGTTGGAGTTTCGCAGGTGGCGAGTTCGTGGATGCGCACTGCTGAGCAGTCCCATAACAGGACAAAACAGCCATCCATTGTTTCCAAGTTTCCCATGGTGATCTAACTTCAACTGACTCATGATCTTAACCATTAAAAATAATAATATACAATGAAAATATTCTTGTAAATATGGTAAAAAATAAGAGATACTATATTTGAGGTTAATTTGAATAAATGAATTTAAACATTACTTATCTAGGGATAATTTAGGTTTAATATGGTATAGGATAAAAAACTAATGCATAAAGATAAATTATGTTTCGTTGAATATAATCAGGAAGATATGATTAGATTTAGTAGAGAGTATGAAATGATTAATCAGAAGTTGAATTTATTCAGTCTGCTATATATTTAAGAACAGATGTTACGGTTCTATTCTGTTACTTGTTAGACTTATTTAGTATAGAGTAGATCATCATGAACTTTTAACCTTCACTAAAGCAGTCCATTCTATATCCAGATATTAATCGTCTATCAGCTATGGAGGTTTATATAGAATTTTCACTTATGTGACATGTTTCAAGTCGATCTATTTATGTTTGACAAAAAACGTATTGGTGGTATTCTATTTGAGTTTTAGATGTGTGGTTAATAACTTTTTTTCAGTACGTTTGGTGTTTAATGTGTTTATTTTGTAATCTATTTTTATCAAACACAAATGATATCCCTTCATTAAAAAAACTGGTTTCAAAAGTTTACTCGTTATCATCATTCATGTAGAGTGACGAATACAATTTATAATACTGTTACTAACAGGTGTTGACAAGTTTTCATCTCTCCCCTTTTGATACTCCACATCTGAAAGTTAACTTTTTTCCTGATTTGTTAATTTCCCAAGTATTTCATCGTTCGCTTCTGGTGATGAATAAATTATTTGAGCAGTTACTGATATTAGTTGTAAAATCATTTTAACTGACTGATGAAATACAGTAACTAAGAAAATTTTTGTAAAAACTAAAAAATCTACCTGTATTTACATCTATTAATTCCCAGGGGTTTTGGGACTTTCGAAAAATCCTTAGAGTTTTTAGAATAAAATATGTCAACATCTCTTTATCCAATAATTAACGCTTTATTTGGATGGTCCTGAGTAGTGAAATCGTTGAAGAGCAATATGAGGGAAAACGTTTTGATCTTCTGAGTGAGTAGGATACAATATTACTGAGAAGTTCTTGCTTGGATAATGATCCTTGATCTAATGAATAGGTTTACTTGATGAGGAAATAAAACTTCTCTCGGCTAATAAAGTACACAGTCCATCTGAGGAATCTTGACATTTTCGGCATATTTTAATATTAATTCATTAATAGATATTTAGATGGTTTTGATCTAATCGTATCACCGATTAAGATTAAGGGAAACTGGCTGAGACCATGCAGTACTCTGGAGGCTTTCAGTTTCAGTTAATGACATCAAACTTTCAAATCATGAAATGAAACTCAGCATCTTACTAGTTAGCCACATGTACGGCATCCAACGGATTATTTTTTATAAAATCTTTGAGTTTGAGATACAAGTTGACCAACAAATATTGTGATCACTGGGCTCATATTCTCACTGTTTAATGGATTGATATTACATAATACTACTTTAGACAGTATATTCTGAGAAAAGTTGCTTAGGAAAAGAGGCATTAGAAAGTTTGAAAAACGAGTCTTTATTTCTATATGAAACGATGACTCCTGCTTTTATGCGCAATGAGAATCCAACTATTATCTTGTATTAGTGTATCAGTTTAGTTATCTCTCCATTTTCCGACTTTGTGATTGAACTGTAGACATTCATTTATTGAATCGAGCCACTCATTATCGAAGTTGTATACTACATTTCGTAAAGTATGATTATCATCTTTTTCCCTGAACTGAACCTCTTCAACCAGTTTCTCAGCTACATTTCGAACATGTGACACAGATGTCCTGAGCATAATATTCAAACTTGCTACTAAAATCTCATCGACTTACTTACTTACTTACTTACGCCTGTTACTCCTAATGGAGCATAGACCGCTGACAAGCATTCTCCAACCCACTCTGTCCTGAGCCTTCTTTTCTAGTTCCATCCAATTCTTGTTCATTTTTCTCATGTCTATCTCCATTTCCCGGCGTAATGTGTTCTTTGGTCTTCCTCTTTTCCTTTGACCTTCAGGATTCCATGTGAGAGCTTGTCTTGTGACGCAGTTCGGTGCTTTCCTCAATGTGTGTCCTATCCACTTCCAGCGCTTCTTCCTGATTTCTTCCTCCACTGGGATCTGGTTTGTTCTCTCCCACAGTACGTTGTTGCTAATGGTGTCCGGCCAATGGATTTGAAGTATTTTGCGTAGACAATTGTTAATAAACACCTGTATTTTCTGGATGACGGATTTCGTAGTTCTCCAGGTTTCTGCCCCATACAGTAGAACTGACTTGACATTTGTATTGAAAATCCTGACCTTAGTGTTGGTTGACAGTTGCTTTGAGTTCCAGATGTTCCTCAGTTGTAAATATGTTGCTCTTGCTTTGCCGATCCGCCCCTTCACATCTGCATCAGATCCACCCTGTTCATCAATGATGCTGCCCAAATATGTAAAGGTTTCTACATCTTCCAAATCTTCTCGGTCAATTGTGATTGGATTGGTGCATTCTGTGTTGTATCGGAGAATCCTGCTTTTCCCTTTGTGTATATTGAGACCTATTGCTGCTGAGGCTGCTGCCACAAAATCTCATCGACATAAAAGATATATAAACTTTAGAGACCAATTTGATGTACTTGTAAGTAGTATAACTGTTTTGCAGAAATTTCATTACATGTGAAGTAGCCTTAACAAGTTTTAATACTAATGATAGTCATAGCATAAAACAGCTTATATGAATGAGTGCGCACTAACTCAACGAAAACTTTAGATCTTCGTCTTGATACTAGATGGAACATAAAGTGATTTCAAGAGTTAAAATGAGTAATTGATAAGCATCTCTTGGTTTTTGCTGATTCTCCAGTAAATTTCAAATCACTTTATATATGACTATAAAAAAGGAAGACAAACTTTTGCCACGACGATTGAGTTACACATTCTGTCAGATATATACAACGATTGAATAATCATTCGCTAAAAAAGTATACTGTCATTCTTTCTTACATATTTGTTGTTATCTCTAAAATGCTTTTTCTTTAAATATCACATTTAAATACATTTTGTGCACATGTAGAAGTGATAAGAACTATTACAGGTACGGTGAACAACACTCAAGTCTTGACTTATTACTTAGATATCAACTGGATCCTAAGTGCATTGTCAGTATTAGAGAACTAACTTACTAATATGATGAGTTAATTGGAAAACAGTTAGTAGTGTTATATTCTCATCTTGAGTTTTGCATTGAACTAAGGCTTATGGGCAAACATAAACTTCACTGTTATGAGTCAAAAAAGTACGAATCTAAATAGGATATTAGATTATTAGTAAAAGTATAAGAATTCTAAACATAGCCAGTCATCATAAATGAAATTTTATGCTTGAAAAAATTAACCTTTTGTTTTTTTAATTGAATTTAAACTAGAGGAACTCAATGTAGAATTAGTCGAGATTACAGTACAGATAAATGCGTGTAAAAAGTATTACATATATGAAAATAACAATAGACCTTAATCTTTAAAAGATCAAGGATAATCACTATTCCCAGTTATTTATTTCAGGATAACCTCTGAGACCTAAAGTCCTGTTGAAACTCATTACAAACGAAGTTACTCTTTATAAACAAATTATAACAGTCATATTTTATAAGAGTTCAGAATTCTATTTAACAATATTGAATATCAACACAAAATATGTTATAGGAGAGTGAACTCAAATGCCATAGCTTTTTTAGATTAGTAATGAACGGTGAAGTTACATCTTAAAACTTTATATTACTGAAGAGTTTTTTGTGCTCAATTCCAGAATGACTTCTAATGAATTATAGCGGTTTTTGAAAATAACTACCTATTAATGTATAGCTGTGTGGAGAATGACACTTTGATCAACAGTCAAATATTACATTGCTCAGAGAATAACCTCTTCTTGTATCGAAATTTCAATTCATCTTATAATATTTGATAAACGAATTTATCGGACTAAAATGTCATAAAACGGTAAGTGAACGATTAATTACGACATGATAAGTTTATTCTTTCTTTACCCATAGAGTATGAACACATAGTTTTAGCCAAAAATCCAGTGGTAAAAAGAGTGATTTGTATATGTTCTTTAAACAATTGACCGTGTGCAATCTAATGTACGTCACTAAGATTCAATCCATTTATACAATGGTGAAATGCGTAAATAAGCTATATCTTAAGTGATATATATACCAAAATCTTTACTTGTTTCACAGAAGGTAGCTATTGCAATTTTTTACTATTATTTAAGGTTTATGATTTCAACAGAAACTCTGAACTGATTGTATGTACTATCAATTGATTTGTTACAAAAGTAATACAAATTAGTGTCTAATACTAATCTATCAACTAACAAGAACAAGTTAATGGTTTACTGTACACGGAACTAAAGTAGCTAAGTGGTGAGTTCATACTTTTGTATATATATTAGCAATATTTACAAAGATTAGCAAGCGATGCTAAGACAAACGTTCGCGGTAAAAAAAAATTGATCTATTTACAAAATCTTGTACAAAAATGAAGTTTAATACATATATGCAGATATACTACTATTAAGTAGTAAATAATTATTATGTAGATAAAAGAATGGTTTGTTAAAATTAACAAGATAAATATCACAGGAAATGTTCATTTACAAGATAAGTAAAAGAGAAAATGAATTAATTAATAAAATTTCGTTTACGTGAATAATTATTGAAAAGCTTTTGTTTACATAAAATCACAAACTCATTATAACCTTCATTAATCAATTGTTTAAATAAATTCATGTAAGTTGGTTTAATGTTCGTTTTGGGATTCGAATTAATTTCTATCCAGTTTAATAAAATAAGGTAAGACGTGTAACGTGGATCAATTTTACTAAAATTCAAAACTTTCGACCAGTTTTGATCGAAGGAATTCAGTTCATTATAAGTAGGATGACATATTTTAAGCCAGATTTTCCAATTCGGTGCATTAGTACTATTACATAAGTGAATAATATTCCATATATCATTATCTTGAATAGATCTATCTGAAAAAAGAAATAACGAATTGGTTTCTTTGGTTTTCTGATCACATTCAGTGAAATTTGGTATATTTTTAACAGGAGATTGTATTTTTTCCAAAAATGATATGACATTCTTGTGAATTGCTTCAGTTTCTCGTTTGGTTTCTTCGATTTTTGCCTGTACAACATTTAATATATGTTCAGTTGTTTTGTCCGTTGTTGAAGATATCGAAGGATGCCATAGATTAGGTAGTAAGGCTTGATTTGATCTACGCTGTCGAAGTAAATTCTTATCAACTCGACGTTTGGTTACAATTTTAGGTTTACGAATAGATTCATACTTTTGTTGTCGGATTTCAATATTATTATTATTATTATTATTGTTATTATTATTATTATTATTATTATTATTATTTGTACATTGTTTTTTATGTGGTGTAATTTGAGATATTTCTTCATCTGAAGTCAGATAAGACGAGGCGCGTTTAATAGGTGTACCAAATTCTACAAAATTATCAAACTCTTTTGCCAGTTTAAAAGTGGGTAGTGTAGTAATGTGATCAGGATCATTCGGTTGACCAGTCGTGGGCAAGCTATTTCTTCGTCTAACATGTCTTGACCATGGTTTTTTCAAGCTCATCATTCTATCTAGACTACCATTTCTAAATATTTTTCTTTTTGATTCATTTATAATTTGTTTAGGCTGATAATGATCGTCTCCACTTGCATATTGTGTTTCAACATGATTATATTGTTCAGTAGTAGGAAAAGTTATATTCTGATTCCATTGGTTCGGATGACAGATAGCATGAGTTATTTCTGCGATAATAGAACAGAATTAAAGCGGGAAAACAGTTAGAATTAGAACATTATGAAATTTTTTAAAAGAGAACGGAAATTATATATAGATGACTAGATAACAATTAGAAGCTACCTAGATTAACACAGTCAGTTATCGTAATATTACGTCGCATTAGTATAAGCACAGTTCTCATGGATTTAGAGATTGGTAAGCTTAACCGAACTCTGTCTTCTTTTCTTCACAAGAATTACACCATACAGCATTATTGAATTAAACATCATTTATTAGCGGTTAGACGTGAGTCAAAAACGCTTTTGCTCTTTCATATAGAAACAATTCTACAGGTTAAATGAAACTAAGCCCCCAAATGCCCTGGTACGGCCGAGAGTGGGGAAAGTCCGCTCTCCCTCTCGAAATGCTCTCACATGGCCACAGGTACACAGCCACTGCCAGGGAAGTCCTACTCACTGCCTTCTCGTGGCGGGGGTGTTATTTACAAAAATGAGAGGACGAAAAGCGAATGTCCGGCGCTTTAACCGGATCCCAAACTGATGGTGCACATGGGCTCCAGTATCCTGCGGGAACAAATGGCGTATGAACCAATCGTTGGTCACCGGCTACTATGGGACTGCATCTCCTTACGATGCTCCACTGCCTTGTGGGTCAGACCTCTAGGTCAAAGGCTCGGGGAGTGGCCCCCTAAGAAAACCACCTGCTTCGGTTTGGGCACCCGGGCAGTATCACAGCCCTCGCACATATCGAATAAGATTTGTGTGGCGCATATGTATTTGGTGCTTTCTTGTACCAATATCTATGTGTTAAAATAAATAAATAAATAATGAATTATCAAACTCTTTAGGCTAGATATTTGTGGCATCAGGCTGGTTTTCTCTAGAATTAAGACTCCAAGCTTGAAGATATTTGTATCCCAAATTTACATAAATTAGAAACCAACTGAAAGCTCTGACTTTTTAATAAAGAGGTAACTTGGTGTTCTTATGTAAGATGGTATGAGGTGGTTTGTAGGAAACGTTTGACCTAGGCTTCGTATTAGCTAACACTCTTTGGAGGGATGTATGTACGGTCATTAGGAAGCTGATTCTCTCCGAGTTCACTCATTTTAGACGTTTGAGGAGTTAGTTAGAGTATCTACAACTCCGTTTACTCTTTAACAGTATCTTCATATCTCCTATTAAAACCTTAATTTTTGACACTATGCTTAAATTGTCTTCAAAGTCCTTTTTCTAAATCCAGACAACTGAGTAGAAAGAGAAGTACAACAACTGCAAAATAAAGATCACGATGAACTGAATATCATATAAAACCCTTACTCGTCATTCCAACAACTAGACATCAATACTATGTTCCCTATGACATCGAGTCCACACTTTAACATTGCAACTTGATTCATAGAATTTGAGCATTAATTAGAAACAAACAACATAATTTTGGCTACTACTCAATTATTTCCATTGGCTATAATAATGACCGGTTGAATGATTAACTGACCTACACATCATATGGTTGGATTTGAACGGATACATTTCCAATAATAGGTATTTTATAGAATTAATTATTCACCAACTTAAAATAACAAATAAATATTATTGTCAAGAACAAGCTAGAACACATATTGTCACATAGCTGCTATGATATTAAAAATTTCAATGTAATCAAACTAGAACTCAATAGAAGTTTACTATAGATTGTTTCAAGATAAAACATTGTTTATGAACATTGAATCTAAATAATAACTTTGAAGTTAACCTGCAGGTTTACTCACTGACATAGATACTAAATCAATTCATCAGAATTTGTTAGAAGTAAAGATTAACATTACTGGTTAAATGAAACGTTCAAATTATGTTTATAGTCGATTATATGTTATTTTATCAGTTTAATACAAATTAAATGAGCAACTAAAAATTTAATGAAATGGAATAAAAATCAGGTCAGTGTTTTGGTAAATAAGTTGAGTTGTCAACACAACTAAGAGACATTTATGTTATGTTATGTTTGTATGTGTATATGTTATGTATATATATATATATATAGCATGTAAGATGAGAATGAGAAACATCTAAAGATTAGACAGATGTTAACGGATTACGTAACCTAAGCACTAATAATTGATATTATTACTAAAATTATACGTGACAAGAACAGTAATTATGCTTGTTTACAATGAAATAAAAAATTATTTTGATATGTGCAAAAAACATGAAAATTTATGACATAATTTCTTTGTACTGATTATAGCAAAATAACCGCTGTCAATTAATTTATCACATTGGAACAGAAAAGTTATATTGTATAGTATTTAACGAAACTAGATTAGTACTCCATGATGAATACATTAATCTTACGAACTCAATCAGTCAGTCGTCTTTAAGATAAATGAGAGGAAATTATGTCAAATACAATTTAAATGGATTAAATGTGATCGAAGAATCAAAAGTTAGGATCAACACAGTTAAAATATAAAAATAAAACCGTATTGTAGTTCAAAAGTTAACAATTCCGGATGATTAGATAAGTATCATCTATATTTATAATGATTGGATCTTAGTGGCTTAAACAACAGACTTATAACCAGTAGGTACTAATGTCGAAAACAGATTCACATATACCCTAATGAAGGTGAAAAATTGTATGATTCATAGTCTGGAACATGTTATTGGATTTGTTACCTTTTAAATTGTTATGTTCTGGTAATATATCATAGAAATTTAACTTCAGTTTGATTTCATAATCGACTGATGTCAACTGAAGGAACATTGAAATTCAGGGAGTGCCAGTGAAAGGTTGTGGAGATTTTCATTGTAATCATATAGCGATATAAGTTAGACCACTATCGTTTTATTATGAAACTCCTCAGCGGTGCACACCCAGGATCCTGCACGTGGGACCCGAACCCGAGACCTTCGATCCCGTGCGCGAATGCTTAACCTCTAAACAACTGAGTCGACATCCAACTATGTGAGACAGATGTTCAGCCTTTGTTTTGAACTATTTGATAACGAACATCCAGGATTTAATAAGGAATCTGAGCCAGGAACATTGTGCTTCATGACAATAATGATACGATTGTTCGACCCAGTTGTGATCCATCTATCCACACTGTTAACTTGTTTCCCCACTGTAAAACTACCGTGAATTGGATACCGTAAAACCGCAATTTGTGTAGAGAGTTACTCCTGATACTTCGCTCACACAAAAATGACCATTACTGACTGAATCAAGTAAAATAAATACTGATTCCTTGTTTTATAGTTATGTGAATTGGCTGATCAATACTGGAACCCAAATTTACTTGATATCCTATATTTCCCAAGTCTTCTGGAAAACGGTTTAATGATAATCATTTAATAATAGTAACGACTATCGTCATACAGAATAAATGATTTATTATTATCAAAACATTTTTGCCAAAAGTTGTACTATATGCCTTATAGTATAAGTAGAATCTCTGATTAATTGAGGAGTTGAATTTCACCTTTTTACATCACATTATATATTTCTATATTTATTTTCAGTAATATCATATTTATAATAATAAACGATAATTATTTAATATCAGAAAAGGTTTTATGGATATTATAGTAATTTTAATGGTTGAAATCATGAGTCAGTTGAAGCTAGACCACTATGGAAAATCTGGAAGCACTGGATGGCCGTTTTGTCCTGTTGTGGGACTCCTCAGCAGTGCGCATACACGATCCCATCTTGCAAGACTCGAACTGACTCATGATCTCAACTATTGAAATTACTATAATATCCACAAAACCCCTTCTGATATTAATAAACATATGCTTACTAGTGACTGGCTTCAAGAAGTATATCCTGGAGTTCTAGTGAGAAGTAGTGACCAGTGGAGTTCAACCAGGTCTGTTGTGAAATAGTAACTCACTGATGACAATGGTGAATGTGTCGCTCAATTTCGTGGATTAGTTGAAGTTAGACATTAACACCGTTGAATGCAGGCCAGTTCAGTGGTCTAGTGTTTAAGCGCTCGCGCTTCAGACTGTTAGGTCCTGGGTTCGAGTCCTGCGAGGCGGGATCTTGTTTAATTATTTAAACGAAATCTTTTTTTATATAAACATGATGAGTCATTTATAACTAAGAATATGAACATTTTAACCAATCACATTTCATTTATTCATTGTAGAATGAACATATGTTTACATGTCATTATTGAAATAAATAAAGCATAGAAATAAGATTGTGTTTTATATAGAACATATTGTATAAATTATATGAATAGTTATATGTTTCATGTGAGTAAACAAACATAAATTTGACTGCTTTATTATTTTTTTTTTGATGAATAAAAAATTTTTTAAAAAAAAAGAATAAAAACACAATACAAAATAATTAATGACCTATTAATTAGTATTAAAGTAAACGAATTGAATAAATATGACAATCACTAACATGGATACAACATGTTTATATTTTTTTAAAACTTGTTTAGAAAAATTAATCTAGGAATATTTGTATTATTGAATTAGGCATACTTCAAAATAACTATAACATTTCTATTATGAGTTGGTGTATGAAATTAGAATTGTTTAGATTGTTATAAGCAAGTGAAATATCACACTAATAATAATAATAATAATAATAATGAATGCTTTGAAGAGATGAATGATAAATGTATGTAACTGTTCAACACGTGATAGAAAAAATAACAAGATATATCACTGCCATAAATGACCTTTTAACAAGTGGAAACCTGTTTAGCTCTAACGTTAACAATAATGAAAACAATAATAATACCCAATGTAATAATGATGATACTATTAACAGTTCCTATAAACTATAGTTCTCTATGATCACGTGGTTCGATCAAGTGAACAGAATCATATATATTCTATTGCGTTGTACAGTAACTTATTTTTCTTCTCATGAATCTCCTGCATATATATATATGAAACATGTTAAAACATGATGATTACTTATTAAGTATCATTTAATTTACTTTGAATTTGCATCAATCATAAGATTAATATGAACAAAAAAAGAACATGGAAAAACAGGCAGTTCGCAGTTAATCAAATAGTCGATAAGGAGTGTATGCTTTGATTTACATATATATAAAGCCGATTTACTACATTTATTAATATGCATAGTAAGTGAGAAAATTACTGAGCTAAAAGGCAAAACGAAACCAAAACAACACAGATAGCAATAGGTTATATATATGAAATGCACGACATACTATTAAATGTCATGATAAGGAATGAATATATCTGTCATGTCACCTTAAGTCTTTAAATCTGTATTACGACAGTAATGTGGACTCTATCGAATAGTAATTTTGGGTTGATAAGCCATATCTAAGTAACACTTAGACCAATTTAGGTCAGTTGATATTTACGCATATAGTTATGTTTCCTTGTCGACACGAAAAATACAAAATACCCATGAACGATATAATTACTGTATATAATTTTACATTGATTCAACTACGAATAAGGAAAATAGTCGACTCACTTTGAGACTGACAAATTCGCTCCGAAACAGAGGACTCCTCATTATTAAAGTATGTGTCAGACATTGGATGATTATGGTGATAACAATCTGAAAACATTTTAAAATCTTCAAAGTATTTGTTCGATTGTGATAGATTATCAGGAATCTTATTTTTATCTCGTGAGGCTGAATGGAGGATACTTGCAACTTGAGATAAGCATCCACCAAGCTTTTGAAACTTAGATAGTAGTAAGCAAAATATTCTTCGAGGTGTCATTAAACTTGGTTGTGATACAGTTGAATCATCATCATAGTATTCAAGTTGTGAGAGTGTTTCATTTATTTCTTGGATTTCCTTTGAAGTAAAACCAAGTAACTTTGCAAAACGATGCCATCTGAATGGTGAATGAAAGTATCCGTACAGTACTATGTGACATCCAAAGAGAAATTAAAGAATAGTTTTATTCTCAGGACTTGTAGTAGTAAGATTTACGTACAATTTAAAGATAATTTATAAAAATTGTTGATATCAATTAAGGAAGCACTATATATATATATATATATATATATATATATATATATATATATATATATTACTATAAGCGTAAATTTCAGCTGTAATTTAGAATCAAATTGTAACACCTCTACAAACTAACAACAGACGACAAATACACAAAGCATAATCTGACTGCATAATAAAACTATTGAAATCACGAATCGGTAACTCAAAAATTGTACTGGTAGGTTGATTGTTTAATGTTTAACACATAAAACTGAAGAACAAATATCTAAAAGAAAACTTAAACACGTCTCAAGAAATCTGTGATCAGAAAACAGTGATATTGTATTGTATGTTGTTTGCTTGTTTCTAGTTTTGTTTGAATCATCACCAACATTCTCTGTTACCACTCATTATTTTTCATGAAAAAACGAACGATTAAATCAAACGCAATTGTTTTGGACCATACACCTGATTCAGCTTGAATAAATGTGTTTTCAGATCATTTTTAAAAATGCTAACATTGAGTGAAGAATAGTTGGAAATGGTAAAATAATAGACAGTTCTTCCCTTGTTTTTTTTCAATATTTGCGACCAAAACCAGCAAACTATCGTAAAGCTTTTACTGTAATCTTAAATCATGACGAAATAACTATCAATTAAAGTATTCTTATTTTTAATTTGCGAGTAATAACTTACATGCCAGGTCATAGAGGCTTTCTACAGTCCACAAACTTCCTCTTTTTAAAATAGAGCGTCCAAAATTCTGCTTTGAAGAAAAAGACAAGTGAAATAGTGGAAAAATGGTAAGTATATCAGTAAGAAACCACTTGGAAATGTACATATTTATTAAGTATTCATCAGTTCATCTCATAAAGCCAGTGAACATATGCAAATTACTAAATAGCCAAACTACAGTGAAAATAGGGGCTAGCTGTTTGTTCAATGTGGGCTGAGCCTTTATATTTCATGTCATACGAACTCAGATTTTTTTGCTGTCAACAAATGGTTTCAACACAATTCAACGATTTACAAGCATAGTCGGCTTAAAGGCACGTCTGTGTAAGGGTATAATGCATAACACAGTGCTACAGGTAGTCAGTCATTCACTTAACCATTACCGACGTAAATTATGGCACGGATACGTGTTGGCTCAAGTTGCCATATCAGGCTATTATGACAAGATAAAATAACCGAATTTGGTGGTGAAAGTGATCAAAATTACGTGGCAAAAATGTAAATAAAAAATAGTGGGCATCAAGAACGAAGTTCAAAAAGATAGAGTGGAATGGTATATATTAAGTAATGCAAGAACTCAAGATCTGGATGGAAATATTGATTGAATGGACCTGGAACATTTTAAATGATTTTGAACCACATTACCCAGTCTTCAGTCACTGTTCGTGGTCACCATGCAGACTCTAGCCAGGTGATACTTATGTGCCAGCATGGTTAAAACTAACAGTCAATGATTTTATGAACTAACGCTACAGTGCAAACACTTCTCACCACTTTTCTCACCAGAAAACACCTTTCGTCTAGGCGGGTGGTGACTGGCAAAATGTAGCGTATGCTCCAACTACCCCAGCAATGAATATTGATATTCATGAAATATGAAGAAAAAGGTCCATAGGCTATGAATGCAAGTAACTGAAGTAATAATTAACTATCCGTAGGGAGAACAGAGATTTTCAAGTATCCACAGGTATTAGGATGAAACTTGTTCAAAACAAATGTAAATCTATCTAATATACAAAGATTACAAAAGTAATAGTCTTACCAGATCCAGTTTGATTTCAAAAATTGTTTGGAAGATAGAGTTACTGGCATATTTCCCAATAATAAGTTTTCCAAAAGGTGAGTTGTTTATTTCTGCCATTTGCAGCATTTGGCATTTTATTGTTTTAGCTACCGACTGATCATCTTCGGGTACCTCAATGTGATGGAATTTTGTCCCTCCTAAATGAGTTTCTACACGTAAATAGTTTGATTCCAGTACCACTGTCATTTTTTTCCCTGGATTAACTGTACAAATGAACTCAGCTTCTCCAATCTGAAAGGTATTCGTCAACAAAAACAAAATGCTTACAAACAGACATAGACTTCAAATCAGATTTCAAAGTCAGTATATTGTTGAATGCTGATTATCTTACTTTTGACCATTAAGGCAAAACAGTTTATGTCTGTGAGCTTATTTTGAGGAAACACAAAATATTTTTGACTACAGCCACGCTGATATGCATTGTTTAGTTTGTAAGCGAAATTGAGTTATTGCTCTTTCAAATTCATATTTTATTACCACGTTGCAGGTTTTTAAAGATGTTAAAGAACACGGTTGATTACATAAAGTTTTACTCAAAGTAAATTAGTTTGTCACAAACAAAATGTCTGAGCGAATAATGGATATCTGGAACAGAAGGTGATTTAAGGTCATTCATATGTCTTACAGACTTTATAAGTCATGGTAAAATCAAACGAAAAGGATATTTCACAAGGTTTTACAGGATACTTTTAAGCATTACTGAAGTAAAAATTTTATTTTCAGACCAACCATGCAAAGCAACAAGATCCTTACATTTTGATGCCGAAATCAGTAAATAGTATCCTACAAAACTTGTTTTTTGATAGAATTGAACAAAAACAGGTAAAAGCATTCTACAAAATAGAATAAATTCATTTTATTTGGATGACAACCATCAAGTGAAAACTCTTTAAATTTTCATATTTCAATACAATCACTCGTGAACAATTAAAAGTTTTGAGTTAGTGAAGTTAAAGTGAGGATAAATATCACCGACGTTTTATTACTAGAATCAATAACTTCGTTGATTTTATTTGATTTTAGGGATTAGGTTATGATTATTTCTAGAACTAATAAGAGAAACAGCGAATAATGCAAAACATAACTAATATTAATGCATTTTTGTGTTGAAAAGACAAATTGGTACTCATCAAAAGTAACGGCATTCGACACCGGACTTTGTACCCTCTTCCTTATTATGATTTTTGGTTTCGTTTAGAATCTTGTTTTCAATTTTTTACTCAAAGCAAATTCCATTTGAAATGGTCAAAGACAAAAAGTAAAGCGTGTGACACTAAATAACTTTTTATCTCACGGAATACAAGTATTTCTGTTTAAAACGTTTATTTAAACTAAATAAATCTTATCCCATGATGAAAAAAATGAATTAGAATAATAACAAGGAAGTTGGATAACTGGGCCATTCTAAATGTAACTTGTTAACCATTATAAATCACATAAAATTACAGTTAAAGCTTTTATGACAATCTACACATGATACAAAGCAATAAATAAGATTATTTGACAAACTGGCCTTCTAAAAACCATCTATAATTTTTAAGTAACCAGGATGGTATAAGCTCACCAAAACTTAATTACTTTACTTTATGAACAGCATCAAATATGTATTGTGATTGGTTTGAAGTGAAGGGTGTGAATGCATTCTGTAAATCTGAACACTACTAGCCATCGCTTATCTGTTGAGTTGAAAGTGAGTCACCTCACAATAACATTTATATTTAAGCTGTTCACATAAATATGAGCTTTATTGGCCATAATTTGAGAGCAAAAGCTTGTAAGAGTTTGCACAATATTATCAAATTCTAGCAAAATATTTCTGCAGCATGTTAAGTACTTCATACGCTCAAGATAAACGTTATCAAAAAAACTTGCAGGGGCTAGTGGAACGTCACTGAATGTCGAACAATCTACCAACCCTCGTCACGGACAAGGATAAGCAACACGCATCAACGAATCGGATCTTACAGGTAGGCGCGTACGACAATGGTCACATTATGTTTTTTGTATCTGTTCTTAACAATGCTTCTCTGCAATACAGTGCTATACAGTCATCAAAGTGATCACAGTGCCTGTGTTTAACTAAAGGGTAACCCACTTTAGGTGGTAACCGCAAGGTTTGACTTCAAGATAGGCTAGGAGATCACACTGCTTCTGCCCAGTTTGAGTAGGCTCACGATCATCCACACAGATTGCCTACTTCGGTGATCTACTGTCTTCAACATAATCATACGCTAACACAAAAGGAGTAAGTGAGTTCCATGAGGCTGATTGATCCATCAGTAAAGCACTAAATGTTGGCTGTCAGTGATGAAAGTTAAACGATTTTTATCCGCACTTTCAGCCACTTTAAACTTAGATGTTTTTCTCACAGGTCGACGATGTTCTCCCATAGAATATTCCATTTTAAATCGTTTGAAAATCATCATGAGAAATACTCGCAAAACCCTTGTAAATATGCAGCAAACCTTACTGTAATCTTTATTTTGACTCTTTTAATTGTTCACTAGACCATATATATATATATATATATATATATATATATATATATATATATATATGAGAGAGAGAGTGCGTCATATCAAAATCCTTTTTAGTAAATACAATTTTTCCAATAAATTTTTATCACAGAGTAAAAAATCTTGTACAGACAAATTTAACAGCATCAAAAATTAAATTATTGTAACAATGTTTTAGTTACCTTTCGCCATATACCGAGTAAGCTCAGTGGAACCGAAGTATTCTGAACACATATGCAAAGGAAACATTTGCCATCTCCACTCGAAAGTCTCAAATAGACAGTGAATCTCATATTTCTGCTATTTTTAAAGCTTTTGTTTAATTAACGGTAATACAAATAATGGTATCACAAAGTTTTATAACATGTTTAATATCCAGTTGAATTATAATAATGATGCCACTATGAGTACTGAATTATAAATGAGATAAACAGGACATTCATTGTCGATCGGCGCTTTCTCTATGGCAGTGTCTTGAATGATTATTTGAATGCAAACTTTAATTTGAATTCAGACACCGTCTGGACTACTATGACAAGCGATACAATGTATACTAATCATATGCGTGCGTTTTTAGAATCTCTTGTACCTGGTACGCTTAAACAAACTTATATTGGATTTAAAATTCAGTCCATATAACGAATTCTTATATGTAAGCTGGCAGATCGAAGTGCTCAGCCATGCTTCTTATTGTTCTCCAGATTTTTACATCTGTAAACAGTAATGTCGAAGACCTAAGTAGTCATGTCGTTCGTCGACATTAGTAAGTTAAATAGGAGACCCTCAATGGTGCCATGGGGTACACCGCCCTTGACCGGCTCCCATTCGGAAGGCGTCCTGCTTACCATGGCGTTTTGTCTTTTACCACGGTGGGGGTTTCTTATTCATTCTTGTAAGCACCTTTCATCCCAAAATTTAGGAGCCCCTTCATAAGACCTAAGTAAGAAACCTTATCAAATGCTTTTCTAAGACCTGTGAATAGCACACCAAAAGATAAATCGTTATCTCGTAAAGTTGTCCCGTCCTCTATCGGTTCATGCACAAATTTTTATTACAAACTCGTGCTGCTCAGGAGTGGGCGCACTTCGTGTCCCTGCCTGGAGGTATTGGTGATCCACTGCTACTAGAAGCCCGTTAAGGTAAAGCCTCTTCTATTCTGTCCACAGCCATTTGAACATATTGTATGGTTTAATGTAACCTAGTAATTTGATCCGATTTACATCTTCAAGTAACGTAACTACAATCGTGATTAGACTGTGAGGTCGGTTGCTAGACACGATCTATCTCTGTCTACATTTAAATATAGAAATAACTATGGTATTTTTCCAATTCCTGGGAACAACATTGTGAGTAGTCCTGAAATAACATCTGTGAGAGTTTATAGCCGTCGTGGACGCAACCCATCAGGACCCAATGTCTTATCAGGTCAGAGGTTGACAAGAAGTTGAAGAGCTTCATCAGTTATATAATAGTGATATTATGTTCCAGACAGAACAGACACATGCCATTTTTCAGGCATGATTAATAATTTTGAACATTGGTTTACAAGTAAGATCCGGAAAACATGGCGGCGGAAAAAAACCAAATTAGCAGGAGTGGATTCGGATATAAACCCTAAACAACGCTAAATGGTTTATAGTGGAACAAACAAAAGTATGGTAAATTAGTAGATAAAACTCATACTAGCTTCGATAACTAGGCTGAAATGTGGTTAAACAGTCTTCAGATAAGAGAATATAGTGACAAAGAACGATGTGTTGTAACGTGTAACAAGGTGGAACGGGTTCATTTGAAGGAGGTAATTACGAAGTTAGAATCTAGTAGTTTGTTCAATGGAATCAATGGTGTATTAGGGGAGAGTAAAGTGTTCAGAAACGCCAATAAAAGGGTAGTAATGTAACAGTTAACTTGACGCTGATGTTTTTGTTTGCTAACCTAATCGGTTGAAGGTTTACAGGCTCATAGATGCTAGGCCACTGGCAGTAGTAGAAAAAATGCTAGGTTCTCTTGACAGTGCTTTAGAATAGTAATGAGCAGTCCTTGTGGCCAACTATAGTTGAGTAGTGTAGATCACCAACGTGGATGATCTATGTCGAAATGATTGGAGGCCTACTCGAGTTAGGCGGGAATGATGTAACGAACCAGCTAACGTCGAAGACACGCCTCGTGGCCAGCACCTTACATGGACTACCCCATTGCCGTATCAAGGTATCATAGATGCTTTGAATAATGTACAACACAGAGGACGTTATTGCAGAAATATATTAGTTAAAGTAGATACAAGCGAAGGTAAGACCACCGCTGCATCGGCCAGTCCATGGCGTACGATTAACTGATGCGCGTTGGCTGTCCTTGACCTTGACAAGGATCGATGATTTGTTCGATAATCAATGATCCAACTGCAAAATCATTTGACTAGGGCTTAGTTGAATTTCACTGGCCCTATGGTAGTATATATAATCCAGTGAGTTGTCTGTCTACTTCAAGTAAAAATAAGAAGGGATATATAGTTAGGGAGACACATTTCATAAAACTTCAAAGAAGAAAAAGGGGAACGAAACTAAGAGTTTCATATTATTTAGACATGTTTAGAGAATGGCATGCATCTTTGGTTAACCACCTTTATGTGACTAAAATCATATCGGTAATTAGTTCACCTATCATCAAGTCTAACTCAGAGGTTTTATTTCTAAAACTGCAAGCGTTTGTGTGGCACATAATAGTGGTATTTTGAGATTCACTCGTTCTACTCATTCAGGTCTCTGAAGCACTGAGTTCAAGGGCCTGATTATTTAAAAACCCTGGATCTAAAGATGCCACATGTATTTGGAATTTGACAACACCTTTACTCGTAACACATTTTGTTAAACGATAACAACCTATTCAAATCAGAAATAGTAGATGAAATGACTCGAAGATATATTTGGAAGGCTATCAATATGTGGGAATCATTTGGTCTAAGCTGGCTGACAGCTACAAGGGATGCGTAGCAAGGCGTACCCACTCGTGATCTGATGCGAGTATGTGGCCGAACGTCTTCAACCAGGGGTATCCAGTTAAATTAATAAGAACAGCATTAATTTTGAAGGCTAATAGAAATATTTTTTCAGGGATTTATTTACCGCTACAAATCTAAGGGTTTGCTTCGCCATTTGGCTCTCCATATTCAAATCAGTGAGAGCCTTCTTTCATATCGTCAATTGGCCAATCTGGCTGTAGACGAATGTTCGAATTACGAGTCTTGTATTCTTTGTTTGGTATTAACTCGCTTTTCAGGTAATTTCTCAGTACTAACTTGAAGATTCTTTTTAGTTCGGTCATGCTTCCAATCTACCGACCAAGTCTCATATCAATCTGTTATATTGAGGTTTTTCTCCTACGCTCACCATTCAAACTCATGTTTCTAATTTTATGCTGGATTAGCTATTCTACTAAGACAGCCTATAACATGCTAACTCGGAAATTTACATTAAGATTGTGTGGCAGGCATCGGATGGAAAGAAATCAGACGGTAAAAGACAGTTATTAGTTTTCTTAACACTGTACTCGCTATATACACTTTCTGTCCTAATAAACAGCCTTCCTTATTCCAACTCTGACTTTCCTTCCTTCATTCGAACTTACTCCACCCTGGTAAATATCACAAACCACCATTCTATATTACTGCATTCTCTCATCTGGAGACTCTGATCACGTTTAACTTTAGCTACAAGAGCTAGTATGAATTTAATCTAATAATATATCTGTCTGTTCCACTACAAAATGTTAAGTACTGTTTATCGTTCATATCTAAGTGCCTTGCTGCTCCTCGGTTTCTCTTTTTTCAGAATTTTGCTCTGAGGGAACAGATATGTAACTTCTGACGTGTGGAACAGACCAGACGTACGTGTTTTCCCCAGGTCCTAGTCCACACCAATCGCTCTACAAGTCTACTTCAAAACAACTATAAACTTAAAAAGTTGCATTGCATAAATACTTTGCACGACCAAAATCCTAACAAATTCGTACCGAGATTAGATCTAGTGTGTAACGCAAACGCGATGCCACTTCGGAAAATATTTTGAAGACTAATCAGTATATCTAAAGGGATGAACTGATATTCACTTTTATAGATTATATTTATGTAACAACCCTGCTTGGAATGCATACTGTGAACCCATAAATGTTGTAATTTGTAGATATACATGTCCTTGCAGAAATATATTACTATATTATATTATATATACTTTAGTTATATGTACTTCACTAACCTCTTCTGGCATCACATTTCTGATGACGGATTCCAATAACTGCTGACCATGTTAATGCAATTTACCAGAGTCATTTTACTTTGACCTTTCCGAATTACATAAAATTAGGCTACGAATGAATTTAACTTTTTTGAATGCTGTATTTACGGCTCTTGATTATGTTGCCATTTCCTGTGTATTAACTATTGAGAACTTTTCTTTAGTCGTTTTTAGATCAAAGGTGACGGATTGTAGCAAACTACTCACAATAATATTCGCCGAAATCAAGCTTTTTCTAGTTGCGCTACGGCTAAAAGATGTTTCCCTCTGAGACCTTGGTGGTGTGTTCTGTCAATCGACATGAGAGTCTATCAAAGACTTGTCAACCAAACGGCCTTACTGTAACATCGAATCATACGAAACAAATAGAAGTTGTATGTGGTGGGATTTAAAGGCGTATATACCTAGTGGAACCACTTTTTGCACTAATCACACTGCATTCCTTCCTCAACAAGGGAAAAACCAAATTGACTGATCACATTTATAGGTACGGACGATGATTGCAGACAGATTGAAGGTGATAGAAAATCGACAAAAACGCAATGCTGATTCTCAACGCAGATGATCTGCGTTGAATTATAAGAGATCCACTCGCGTGACCAAACAGCTAACATCCAAGTCAAACCTTACGGTTAGTGCCTACAGTAGATTACCCCGTCATCAAATCCAGGTACCGTGGCCACCTTAACGGTCGTGCAACACAAACGGTGTTATTAGCGAAATAAATAGGTAAGAGTTGGTGTAAGGTACAGAGTTCAACCACAGCTGCTGATGTAATAAATACACAAAAGCAAAGTTAATTCACAGCAACAAAGAAATCGATGCCCTTTTTAGAAAGAGAGGTGATATGTGACTGAAGCCTGCGAGATTCTGTAGCCTAACGCTTATATATACGTATATTGTTCATTCATAACGTTTATTTTCGGAGATTTGTAACCAAGTTTATTCTGATCATAAAGCATTAGGACCTGTGTCTTGATTTGTCTCCTGGTAGTTTTAGATTGTTGAACTACCAAAAAATATGAAAAGGATTCGGAAACGTTAAAATTTGATAATAGCAAATCATTTTTATCAAAATATTTATTGGATATTCGCATAACAGTCCGAGGATGATACATCTTAATAGTAGCCAAAGTTATCGTAACTCATAACTCTGATGCTGAGGAGTCGTCGTGAAAGATAATTTATCTGGTATATTACCGGGCACATATCCGATTAAGATAGTATTTATCTAGCAAAGCCAATATGGTCGATAATTTCGTTGAATGCTTCAAGTGCCATGCGTCTCACGGAATGGATTAACATTGTAAATATTGAAATACATTACTCTAAATCATTTACTCACTATACTTTTCTAAACCTTGTTCCGAACTCAGTTAACATTGTCTTCGTATCCAATTATATTCCTAGAAAAGAAACTTTGGACGCTCGGAGAATTTGTGCTTGTTTTTCGAAGGATATTTTTATTTAATCAGATGACTCAATGAGAATAGATGATAAGTGTCCATCATCCTTTATTGACAAAACATAGTTGAAATAAGTCAAAAGATTGATCCTAACACGGCCTTCGTGATGATGTACGAAAGTGTAAAGGTCATGTACTGAGGTTTACTGAGGCCTTAGCCATACGAAAATTCAAACCCTCTTTATATTTTCGAACACACTTTGTTCTCGTCTCAAAACTTCCCTGGTATTATTAGCTTATTATTCAGTCATGAGGCTTCAATTTGTTTTCCATATTATTTTCTTCATTTCCTTTGTCCCCTCTTACCCTCCATTTCCAGCCTATTTGACCTTTTATTTTTACATATAAATGTTCTCAACAAGTATGTGCGTGATCAGATTGTTTGAAATTTATTGCGTTAATCTACTACATAGTTCTGATAATCTTCGTCGTGTTATAACATTGCCTAAATTTATCAAAGCGACTCACCACTTCAGATATCCACTTAATTTTTACGTCTAGATAGAAAGGATGCTGTGTGTTCAGATCTCTTTAGCTATTTTGAACCTATTTCTTGTCAGTTTCGGCAGGGTACCCGAAGAGATAACAAACTTTGTGGTAAAAGTTACGACAAGCCTATCGATAATTTTGAAATGCAAAAGAGGCAGTTGAGCATCAGTGTTCAACATAAGATTAGAAAATAAGGTAGCTTTTAGTCAGCTTACCAAACTAAGTGATCATAGAATCAGGAGAGAATGTATGTTGGAGTTACTGGTCTGTCGAAAGGGGCAAAATAATCTCAAATGGCCGTATTTTGGGTTTGTGTATTTTGTGCCACTTTGGATTATAATGAAGACTTCGTAAGCATCTGGCAATAGCTGATATTCATTCTTTTTGCGTGTATAAATAAATGAGTTAGCCATGCAGGTTTGGTTACTCCGAGGACCTCTTTCATCTTTTCGTCACACATACATTACTCTATCAGTAAGATTTTATTGACATGTCAAAGGTTCCAAGTGAAAAGAAAATCCATTTCACAGCAAACGTCAGGTTTAAGAAAACAACTTCCTGACTTTGACACAGACCGTACACACTGAGAATTTATGTTATGACGAGTCAGTATTATATCACGTCCAAAAATTCTGGTAGGACAAACAAGTTCATCGACAACCACCAAAGTACTAAATCCCATAAGTTTACTAATTGGGAGGAGAAATGAGAAAATCGCGCATAAAAGTACTTGCGAACTTCCAAGTGATATGGATCTATAATTTATAGAATCTACTGCCTGATGGCGATAGCACTGGAAACTTCTAATGATTTCTTTAATTTATAGATGAGTGCTATATAATGATTCGTAGGAGATTATCTCCATACATTGTTAAATTAAATTGGTGGTAGTACATAGTATTACTTGTGAAATCAGTGTGCCCGCCGGCCATCAAACTGGTTGATGTTCTCCGTTTCATAAAAAATTTTAGATAAGACATCTGATGTCACAAACTTTTGTCTGCTATGAACGTCCGTGTACTGTACTATGAGATGTCTGGTGAAAAATAATTATGTAGGAAAGGTTAGTGTGCAAAGTGAAATCTACGGTTAAAATTCTCTCTTGAGTGCAGCAATCAATCACCAAACAAACGAGAGAATATTTGGGAATTCAAGATATTCCACACTTACTAAATACTGGAAACGAGCCGATATCCTTACATATGTTAATGACATCTTGCATCTTCAGTTGTCTTACAAAACATTTAGTTCCGGCTGCTTCGGAGATTACAGAAGTGATGGAATCCCACTTCTGCTTCAATGAAAACCCTTGGGATTTGTAAGTAGTAATGTTAGCAAAATAGAGATCATGTAACTTCGTTTAAAGTTATTCTGGGGTTACTGCAGTTCCCAAGCATAGGTAAAGGTGAAGGGTTAGACGTGGGATCGGCAACTCCATTCTGTAGAACACAAACGTGCTGAAAGACGTTAACCGGACAAAAACAATTTGAACCAATAAGACTCTGTCGATCGATTTCAACGATGTTCATCCAGAAGAATTATGGAGCCTCATGATGAAAGCCGAGATTTTTCGAGTCATGAAACTGATTACCCTTCTAACAATCAGAACGACAATCAAAATAGATAGATGAAATGTTCGGAAAATGTGAGGGAACAGAAGTATCAGTCAGGTAGCTATGGAAATGGGAAAGCACAACTTTACAGTTTTCGAAACAAACGAAACTTATTGGGCCAAAGACGGACAGAAAACGATAGATTCGGGAAAGATGCTGCTGAACTCCGGTTATGAAAAAGAAAATGCTCCACACATTCGGGGAGTCTTTCATCTTTTCCAAAGAAGCACGAAACGAATTTATAGGACGGGAATCTCATAAACTCAGAATTGTCAAAGCATCCTTCAAAACACAGAAAAATCACAATGAATGTTATCCGATGTTATGCATCAACTAATGATAACAGCGAAGACGATAAAGGTCAGTTCTACGAGATGCTGTAAGCGCTCATAGAGACGTGCTCAGGAAAAGACCTGACTATCCTCATGGGAGACCTAAACACCAAGGTCGGAATGAGCAAGTTGGGGTATAGAGATGTCATGAAACGTCATGGATTGGAAGGAACGAACGAAAACTGGGAGAGATTCGCAAATCTATTTGCATTCAACAACATGGTTATAGATGGCACAATATTTCCTGACAAACGCATACACAAAGCTACATTGAACTCACTGGATCACACCACAGAAAATCAGGTATATCATATTTGCATCAGTAAAAAATTCAAGTCAGTGGAAGACGTGAGAACCAGGGGAGGCGGTTGACACAGCTTCAGGTTATCACCTGACTGTGGCCAAGATGAAACTGAATTAAAGAAGCACTGGACAACTGAGGAAACAGCATCCAAGAGGTTTAGTGTAGCTTTCCTTCGACATACTAACAAAACTCATCGAATTCAAGATAACTCACACTAACAGGTTCCAAGTTTTACAAGATGTACTTATATAAGAGGAAGCCACTATGAAGAACAGCTGGAAATGGATTTGTGAAGTACTAACTTCGGCGTGTCGCGAGGTTCTGGGCCGTACCAATCAACGGCAGGCCACGAAACATTTCAAGGACTCAGATTCAAACCTAATGAAGGACAGTAAATAGTCATATATACCGTCGCAAATCAGGGACTCCATAATTTTTGAAGGTAAAGAGAGAAGAACCAACGGTCGATAGCTTGAAGTTTCTCTGCCTCGACCTCCCTTGAAAATTGGTATGGTGTGAGCCAGCTTCCAAATTTCCGGTAGTTTGCCTCAGCTTAGCGAGTGTGAGAACATCACTCTAAGCGGTGTTGACAGGATTGGAACTGCTTCCCTCAGTATAGCAGAGTGAACTATATCTGGGCCATGATAAGTGCCTTTTCTTAGGTGCTGCAGTTTCCGGAACACTAAGTCGGCGCTCAGATTCACTACGGAAAGTCCTGTACAGTTGCAGATGAAGCTGTCATCAGTATAGTTAATGTGGGTCGGTTGAAATGTCCGAGAGTATTGTTCAGCCAAAAGGTTAGCGGCCTCGCCGTCGTTATTGGTCGGGCCATTGAGACTTAGCAGTTGCGAAACTCCGGTTTTGGTTTGATGAAGAGGGGCTGCATAATGGAATAAGCTTTTCGGATTGGAGACAAATTCATCCATAAGCTTTATCTGATACTGAAGTCTGTCTTCTCTTATAGCCTTCGTGGATATGTTTCTTATATGTTTTTATTGCATGTAGTAGTAATACTTTCTTGGTAAAACAATCACTTCATCAATAAGTCATATTGGTTATAATGTCATTGATGTACATTAGAAAGTCAATCCGTATTGTATATTGTATTCTGTTGGCATATTTTAAACTATAGTTCCACACACACTATGCTAGTGGACTAAGTGAAGAGAAAAATAATGTTTTGCGAAAAGATAAGATCTGATTAGTCGTTGATTTGTTAATCCTAGTATAGTTTGCTTAGTTGTGAGATCTCTATGCATTAATCGTAGTAAGGTATGTTAATACTGGTGAAACATGAACTATTGAGAATGGTTTTAATATGCAGTGCCATGGATTCTGACAGTCCCATTTGACAATCACTTGATGAACGTGAATGGTTTCAGAAGCGTCAAGCTCTAGGTTGGGTATTCTAGAACACCTATAATTGCAGTTATAGGTGGGGTGGTGTTGTATAGTATATCCCAGCTAGTAGATCTTCACAGAATGACGAATGATAAGTTCTGGATGTCAGTTTGAAAATTAGACAGTTAGTAAATGCCAATACAATAGTTTTAACCAAGGCCTATATGACTACCAACTAATATTCACGGTACTAGTATGGACTCGGTCAGTCAGTTGACACACCTGCAAGACGAACATTGGATTCATAGAAGCAATTAACTCACTGGTGTAACAAATAAAGGGAAGGTTTTATGTAAGGATATAGTTCAGGAAGAAAGATATGAAGCGATTTTAATCATAGATTAAGGTAAGATAGTGTATACAACGACGCCATTGTGATCGATCTTGAGCCATGTCACCATTGGTTACAATACTCGTGCGGATCCCAACCAAGTAGTCTGCATCTACCATTATGGCTCAGACCAGAAGTTAGTGACTTTATGGACTGACGCCCGTAACTTCCTTCTAACCATCCCCAACACCGGTTAGCATTGCACATCATGGTAATCGGTGTTCGGGCATACGTAACACGTGGCCCAGCCATCTCAGTCGATGAAGATTCACAACCTCATGAACTGATTTACCATCATTCCCCAATACCCTGCGTCTAACCTCACTATTACTTGCCTGGCAATCCCCGCAGATGCGAGCGGTATTCCTAAGATGCTTGTGGTCAAATGCTGTAGCACTAGTACGAACTGTTCTCAGTGCTAGAGTAAACATGACAATGATACTTTTAGCTCCCAGGAGATTCCACTCAACTGCGGATCTCATGAGATTTGCCCAATTGCTGAACCTAGTGACGGCTAATTAAACTGGAAAGTGTAATTTGTCTGGTAAATTAGTGGCTGGTATGTGTGCCGAAATAGTGTATGTTGTACAATGAAAGCCACGACGAGTTAGGACCTTATTAATTGAGCCTTAGTACAAATCACTTTATCAGTGGTATTTTAAATACTGTCATCGATTGTCTCTATCTTATTTTGTTTATGCTACTACCCTGGTTCAGAGTCGTTGATGTAGTTCGTGACCGATTTAAACCTCGCCCAAATGTGTGGCGATTAAACATATCCATGAAGGAGTGTACTTTATTAATGGACTGGTCACTTGATACTAATTTTTCCTTTGAGGAAGCATTATTTTAGTCTAAAAGTACGTTTAGCTCCGTATCATTCCTCTTTATATCACACATAATTCTAAGTCGACCTACCAACTGTCCATCATGGAGAAAGAACGATATCATGAAACATCTCAGTTTTAGGAAGATTTTGGGACCTCTTCATCTCCAGTGGCTCAAACAGTTTATATCTAGTTGCTGTAAGACTAAGAATACATACAAGCATTGGCGAAATTAGGGAAACAATAGATCCAAGATTCCCAGAGAAGTCCCAAAACGTTGTTCTTCTATATCAAGAGATGAACTTGATAAAGAAATCGAACCCCACAGCAGGAAAATTCACTGGTAATGAGGAGTGAATGCATTGATATGTCGATAATAAATGTACAGTTTTAAAAGTAATTCCACAACTAGTGACTTTATAATTTCCGCCTTCATGAGACTCATAAACAAAGAAGTGTATATCCAAACTATCCTTAGTGTATGGTAACACCATCTCGGTTGGAACATCTGTTCCTATCACTTATTAGGTAGGTGTAACCTAATGGTTTTGAAGTTATTTTATAGTCGTATACTGACCAAGTTTCGGTCAAAGCTAAAATGGATGGTTTTAGCTCACCCATTAATGTCACTAGGACACGAAATCTCAGTCAGTCGCAACGTAAACCCTCGTACATATGTAAATCAGTTCAAGTTGCCTTACCCCATGATCACAGAGGAATGTGATTGTCAGCCCTAATCTCAGGATAATAGCGCTAGTATCAGTATGCGTGGTAATAGAAAAGATCAGGCATCTAAGATATGATTCAAGGAGATATAAATTAGTGAGATGAAAGCAAGAAGTTTATGAGCAATTCAAAAACTCGAAATCTGGGGGAAGACAAAGAATGGATTCATTTGGGTTTTAGAGAACGATTTTGAACCATTTCATACAAGGTCTCTAACCACTGGTTCGTTTTTATTAAATTTCTGTCCACAGCAATACCTGACATCAACTCACTGAACATAATCACTTACAATATGTACTTTAATGCGTATTTAGTAGAATATACTGGATATCCAAATGTCTTGGATATGGCCTTTGACCTGCTCTCAGTTTTTTATTCCTAAATTTCATTATGTTCGGGCTAACATTAAACATTTTTGAAGTTCGTATTTACACCATTCGAATTCATCTTTGTCGATTCCTTAAAATCAGTTAATAGAACCTTATCTTCTACACGTTTTTCTCACCTTTATCTTTTTGTTTCATTCATTTCAATATGGTTTCCCGTTTGTCTCATGTAAGGTACCCGAATTATTTCCATCTTTCTAATTCATCCTTTCATTCGTTTGTACAACATAGATGTACTTGTTGAGTGTTATCTACAGGGGACTTTTCCCCAACCTTTTATTTATATGTCTAACTTTAGTGAACACAGATATTTTCTCCTCTTCTAATAAAACGTTACAACAAGTGTGACTATTAGGGTTCTAATGAAAGTTGGACTAGTAGCATATGTTGATTTATGTATGGAAAAAACTTGCGTAACCAAATTTCTTCTAGTTGTTGACATCCTTCGCGCTCGTTTTCACAACTCTGTTTTTAGATTGTGAGTCACCCGTAACTACAATAGTATTAGTTTATACTCGTTGATTGTCATACAACTTGTGCTGGTAACCATCGCTTTTTCATTAATCAGTTCACAGTACTGTCATATAAATGAAAAATGTAGTTAAATTTTAGTAATTCAGATTACGTTGTCGAATATAGGCTGATGTGAACACTTGACTAATGACCCTGTTAGTTGTAGACGAGTTATGGTTTATCCGATCACTTATACACACAACCAGCGATAGATCACATGTTTAAACTGTGTTGCCTGTTAAATGGTCAGTTTTCATCCAGTTTTTTGTTATAACTAAAACATACTAAGCTTGGGTAGATGTCCTTTTATTTTACTGCAGTAAGTTCAACATAATTACTTTTTATATGAAGATTCATTGTCTTTGTGTATCTGTTCTAGTTTGTTGTTTTCCAGATCTGCTAATCAAATGGATGACCTAAAAGCATTGCTTGATGCAGAGCAGGAGAAAGTGACCAAGTTGAAAGCTCTTGTGGTAAAAGAGAGAAAAGTTAACACAAAAATCAAATCAGAATTGGAATATCTGAAGTCACTGCATACCAGGACTCATCAAGAAAGTGGTGGAAGCGTTGAAAAATTTGATAAATCGTGTTGTACTTCTGAATTTTCAAATGGATCCACTTGCATGCATGAGGCACTACCATCAGAGCTTGTAAGTACATCGGTAGAAAACTCTGTATTTAATGAACATAAAAGAAATTTCCGTGTGTCAACCAACGATATTGATGATAAGACGACTGAATATGTAACTAAAATTCCTGTTTGTATAATTTCAGCCTCTTCTTCTTGTGAGACGTCCTCTAAGGATTCATTGCAGAGTTCTGACAAACATCTACATGTACCCTGTTTAAATGAAACAACTATAGTTCCTGTTAACTGTCTATGCGTTGCAACACAAGTAGACAACTTAGATAATTTTGATGGTAAGGATTCACCATTGTTACAACAGTTTAACACTGCATTACAGTCATTAAAGCTCAACAATAGAAGTAATCTATCAAAAGATGAATTAAAATTGGTATTTACTGAATGTAACAGATTATTAGAAGAGATCGATCTCTGTTCAACTGATAATTATCATGTACCTTTGAATCATTTCTCGTCAAAAGGTGAAATAATAAAGCTTGAAAATTTTTGTCGAACTCTACCAACAGATTTAAATCAATATTCTCACTCATTAAAACAGTCTTTTACTAAGCAAAAAGAAGAACAAAATTCTTGCCATAACAAACTTTCAAATGAATTAAAACATGTTCATTCAGATGAAATGTGTGATGAAGAATTACATATTTTAGAGCAAAGAGTAAATGAATTAAAACATAGTGTTGAATATGCTGAATCTTCATTTAATCAACTATCAAATAAGCTTACTTCAGTTACTCATATAAATGAAGTGTATAATGCTAAATTATTACAATTACAAACAAAATATAATGATAATTCATTGGATATGACACAATCATTTGTTAAGTTGAAAAGTTTATTATATGATTCTTTTTTATTACCGTTGATTAAATACCATCAAGAAGTAAACAATAATAAACAATATAATTTGAATGTGGATTATTTTATTTGCGATAATTTTCAAGATGATACTGTTAGTAAAGTTGCAAAGAGTTTAAGCGATTTCCTTGATGAATTGAAACAAATTATTAAACACTATTACACATTCAATAATAAGTGTATTACATCTTCCAATGCATGCATTCCGACTGACTATAATGAAACAAATATTGGACAAGAGAAACTACTGTTGGATAAATTGAAAAGTACAGAATCTGAATTAATTAATGCGAATGAAAAGATTCTAATCTCTGAGAATCTAATTTCAGATCTAAAAAGTCAACTAAAAAATTCTGATGAAAAACTGCATCGTATGAAAAATCTTTTAGTTAAAGTTAAATTAGATGCAACTGAACAACAGAAGAAACTTTTAGAATTCCAAAAAAGTCAATCTGTAAATGTTGAAAATAATCAAGAATTGAATCGTCTGACTGAAAAATTATCTAATACTGAAAAGGAGAAAGAAAATTTGGTGTGTAATCTGACACAATTGCGTAGTGAATTAACTCAACAACATGTCTTATGCGAAAATCTCCAAAATGATAAATGTTTAGCACTGGATCGACTTCAAAAGTTACAAAACGAATATAATGCATACAAAGTTAAGGTAAATAATAATCCTAATAATTTTAAAAAATACTCTTCGTAACTCTAGTATTTGGTATATAAATATGATTTAGTGATTGATAAATTGAATATGATAATTTTGCTTAGAAGAGGGAGAAATGTCAATCTTCCGTGCATGACTGTATCATAAGTGATTCCTCTCACTTATCTACCACTCTGAAACTTTGTTTTACCTTGTAACTTACCACTTATCGGACTAGATTGATTAGCTCCTTAATGATGTCCTTACATTTCAAAATTTTTAGGTGAATGTACTTGCATCTCATTTCATAATCAAACAAACGTTTTACGTCATATTAACCTCATACTAATAACGAAAGGACTAGAACTCATAGTCACACATGATAATATTTACGCTTGTCCAACATGACGGACAGCGAATTATGATTCACTAGTGGAAAGAAATCAAATAAATGGTTTTTGTATGTTTTAGTCGGTCAGCTACAACATAGGACCAGGCATATATATTCATCCGTCCAGGTTACCACACCTCATAGCACAACAAGATGAACACCAAATTTATAGAAGTAGTCACTTCAAAAGTAGTAATATATAAAAGAAAGATTGTGTTCGGTGATTATTATTGTCTCCGTTTGTTGTGAACTCTCTTATTAAGACCCAGCTACTCTTATCGCTTAATATTTTTCGGACACTATTTCACTCAAAATCAGAACACGGTTGAACAGGCATGTAATTATATTCCAATCAAATAAGGTTGAATATGAGTAAGAATCATAGTAAGAAAAACCCTAATATACTCAGAATTTTACACGGGAAGATTCTAGAGTTTTCATTTGTCCACTGGCTTATAAATGGCCAATTATTTATTTATTATTTATTTGAACACATGAACATTGGTACAAAAGAGCGCCAATATATATGCGCCACACAAAACAATGAGAAGGGAAATAGAAAAAAAAGAAGAACAATAACGAAGAGATTGGTGTAAGGCAGTGTGGTAGTAGTGAGGGAACGGAAAGGTACAATCAGAAATCTTTCAGGTAAGGGAGACACAACCACTTTTTATGAAGAAAGTAAAAGAAGGTTACAGCAGGATCGCCACTGGCTTCTATTCGGAGCCATATCTGATAACGTCTCTAGCCACTGTGTAGCACCATCTCTCAGACCCCAACCAGGGAGTCGTGAAGGACCGACAGAAGCCAGTCCTTTGCAGCTTTCTTTCATGCCACGACACCATGTCGTACACTGACCACCTCTCCGCTTTTTCCAACCAGTCCCAGAGTCGGCAAATAATGCACGACGTGGAATTCTCTGGGACGACATTCGTAGAACATGTCCAAGCCACCGAAGTCGGTGTTTCAAGATGGTGACAACAACTGAATTATCATCTCTGTGCCCGAACACACGATGCCGAACCTCTGCATTACTGACATGGTGTTGCCACTGAATGTCAGCAATCCTTTGGAGACAGCGATGATCGAACACAGAGAGTCGTCTAACGTCCTCAACTCGGAGAGACCAGGTTTCACAAGTATACAGCAAAACTGCTCTCACCGACGCGTTGTAGATCCGACCTTTTACAGCCAGACTAACATCACGAAGACGCCAAAGATGGCCCAGATTGGCATAAGCCGCTCTGGCTTTCACTATTCGTGCATCGATCTCATCACTCACATCCCCACCAGCACTTATGCAGCTACCCAGATACATGAACTTCTCGACTACGTCTATCTGCTCACCATCCAGGGTGAGTACAGGATTGGAATCCTGCCAGTCTTGTAGAAGTACTTTGCACTTCGAAGGTGCAAAGCACATACCATACCTACGGACACTGATTGCCAACTGATTAAGTATGGATTGCATTGCTTGGGCATTATCGCACAGTAAGACAATATCGTCCGCATACTCAAGGTCGAGAAGTCTTTTTACAGGCAACAGATCCACACCACCATTACTTACATCCGTCAGAGCTGTTTCCAGAATGTCATCGCTGGCAAAGTTGAAGAGGAATGGTGAGATTGGGCAACCCTGCCTAACCCCATTGCTCGAATGGAACAATGGAGAAAGGTGGTTGTATGCCCTCACTCTGCCTGAGGTGTTTTATATAGGGCTTTTAGGATGTTAATATACTTCTCAGGCACACCCTTCTTCAATAGACAATCCCAGAGAACAGTCCTGTCCAACGAATCGAAGGCAGCCATGATGTCAACAAACACTACGATTGTTGGCCTTTGATAAGTTTGGCGGTGTTCTAACATTTGGCGGAGGGTGAAGATATGATCAATACATCCTCGACCAGAACGAAAACCAGCCTGCTCCTCGCGAGTCGATCTTTCTCTGGTTTTGAACAACCTACGAAGTATGACGGAAGCCAACAGTTTGGACTCAATCGGAAGTAGACTTATCCCTCGATAGTTTTTACAGGAACGACGTGAACCTTTTTTAAGGATAAGGACAACTATCGACTCATTCCATGATGTTGGAACACTCTCTAGTTCTCAAACCTTTGTAAACAACGTCGTCAATTCCTTAGTCAAAGAGTCACCACCATCTTTAAAAAGAGCCGGAGGTAAGTCATCTGGGCCAGGTGATTTGTAACGCTTCAAGAGTTGGGGTTCCTTGAGGACTTCCGTCCCATTCGGTGGATCAGTCGTCACCAGCCATGGAGGGCAGGACAGTCCGACCGATGTTGCCGGAGCAGCAGGCCAGTTGAACTGCCCTTCGAAAAATTCTGCCTATCGTCCAAGACATCGATGGATGTTAGTGGTTGGCATCCCGTCATTCTCGCAGATTGTTTCACTCACGGCAGTCAGTCAGCTACAACTTAGGACCAGGCACATATGTGCATCGGTCCAGGTTGCCATACCGCATCAGCACAACAAGATGAACACCGGATTCATAGCATGTAAGAGAAAGATTGCATATAGAGATATAGTACAAGAAGAAAGAATTGGTTCGTAGAAAGAAAGATATGAAGTTATTTTAATCTCTTAGTTTAAGGGAAGACAGGGAGTGTATACACCGACTTCTTGCTGCCAGTGGCTCGGATGAGCTGGAAGAGCTTCCGGTAGTTACCAGATGCAGCTGCTGCTTCCAGCTCATTAGCACGCTTCGACCACCAGGCTTCTCGGTCTTTACGCAAGCTTTGCCCGATTTCATTTCGTAACATCCTTCGTTTATGGTCAAACTCACGGTCACCCGGAGTAGACCGACGGGCTTCAATGAGTTGTAAGGAACCTGCAGAAACGCAGTGCTTATAAGTGGGACGTTTCGCGAACCCACAACTGACTGTACCCGCCATTTTCATGGCGTCATGCAACTGCAACCAATGCTCATCTATACTTTTCGGTGGAGTGGTAGCTAGCCTAGAGGCTAGCTCGGTTCGATAATTACTTGCAACAGAAGTTGCAACCAGCTTGCTAATACCAATCCGTTGATGGCGGTCACTTCGTTGTCCACTAAAAAGTAAGGCAAGATTGGCGCAGACGAAGGCATGGTCAGAGTCCAGATAGGTACTCCAAAAGGAGCGGCAGTCTTGTACACAACCACGCCAGCGGTAGCTGATCGCGATGTGATCAATCTGAGTCCAGGCTTGAGATGCAGAGGGAGGACGCCAGGTGGCACATCGGCGATGACTGTGCCGAAAGTTAGTGCTAGCCAAAAACAGGTTGTGGTCTGTGCACAGTTGCAGTAGACGGTCCCCGTTATCTGACCTGCGACCAACGAGTCCCCATCGGCCACCTAAACGACTCTCTTCTGTGCCTAGACGCCCAACCTGAGCATTCAAGTCTCCGGCCAATCAGCGTACTCCGATACAATTCATCACGGGACACCTTTTAATCCAATCTATATTCCATTAACACTGTTATACCCACTAATTGGAGACTCACAAACTTTATAAGCTTGACTGATAATCTATACATGATAGTAAACTGTGAGCGTTTGTTACATCTCTCTTATGTCCACTAAGTGAGCCAGTAAAAGGTGGGTATAAAGAAAGGTGAATAACGTTACTGGACAGCTCTTTTATTGGGAAACTATATGGCCGATAATAGGATCCTTTTTTATGGTAAAATATCTGTAATTTACTACAAATGAAGTTGGAATGTATTTTTAACCCAGTAAAAGTCATTCATTTTTAATTTCTTCACATTAGATTGGGCTAATTTTCATTATTAACTCTTTAAATATTGAAATACTATTTGTCGATGTGTCGGAAAATTAAAGTTTTGTAGATCATATATATATACTGAAGTTGTGTTAATTTATTTAATCGATCGTATTATTTGAAAGATTTTTTTCACTTCAAACTTTTTTAAATCTAAGGCTCAACTTGCTCTATGTAACGTACGCACTGTAACCAATCAGGTGAATACAACGGATACTAATAATAGTCCTAATTGTGAAGGGGTGAATACTAACCAATCTGATTTCGAAAGCAGATCATTTTATTATTCAAATGAATTAGAATCTATGAAACACAATCTTTTTGACGTACAAAATCGTATGAAAGAGGCTGAATTGCATGCGTCCTTAGCACAATCAGAATGTGATTTGTTAAAGAAAGAATTGATCGAAGTGAAAACAAGGTAAATACATTTTTCTTATTTCCAAATACGTACTAAACAAATATACACTAATTAATCGATGGTATTCGATCTGCATCAAGAACTAAGTAAACATCACATTCGTTTAGACTCAGTAATCAGTTGGTGTAAATATCACGATTCTATATTAGGCCAATTGCGACCCAAATATCTGTCTCATTAGTAACGTCTGTCACAGTGAAACTAAGTAATACGGGTTCAAATCGTACAATGAGTATCAATTCACTAAAGGTTGTAGACACGTCTTGCTGATGACTGCTAACTAAAAACTAAGGTATAGGGATTCTTGCCGATTATCTCGAATCACTTAACACCCAGGTATCAGTAGTCAGTCAGCCATTATTAATGTATAACCTAATGCAAATGTATATTGACCTAATTAATTCCGTCCAATGAGACCAAATTAACAAGATCAATAACAAAGGAGTTGAAATAGTTATATTATAAAAGATAGTGAGAAGAATTAAATATTCAAAATATGATCCGAAAAGAAGGTATGTATGGAACTCAAGATCTATGGAAAAATGAAAAGGGGATTCATCTGTCTCATATCTGACGATAGCACTTATGATATCAAGTCAATTAAACTAGTAATCATATTGCATTTGATTGAATGAGTTCAATCAGCACCAAGGATTAAAAACACGACACTGGTCATTACTCAGTGATCGATCAGTATAAATGACATAACTCTATCTCTTGACCTTTTATTGATTTATTTTCCAGCACTATTTGATTTTAAATATTTGTAAATTACTAGGTTTTCTTGTTGATATCACAAACCAACCTAAGTTCTAAATCCATCGAAAATCACGAAGCACTGGACAGCTGTTTTTCGCTACTTTTATAACATTGATCGATTCACGATCTCAGTCAAAAGCTAACAATCTCTACAACCTAATACTGATTTTATAATTTATTTTATATCAAGAAAGATAATCACTCATCCAAAATCAGATATTTCCAGAAGTTCATTTTGAGAATTTCTGAAAGTATGTACTTCTATAGAGCTTTAAGTATATATCAAGGTACAGAGGAAATTCAGTGAATACATTTATCAGTAGTCCGTTTGTCAGGTTTATCACCAAGATAGATTGAGAAATGACGAAGTACGAATTAGAAACTGAGTAAACAAAATAAAGTTTACCTATTCATAAATTTATGGCTCAAAACCGTACTACGGTCGAGTTACTTATGAACAATGTAAGAACTATTTATTTTTTTCACAGACACACTGAACTGTTATGCCAATCTCAAAAACAAAAGCAATCCTTAGAGGACCAACTAATGTCAATAACTCAACAATGTGAAAATCGTCTTTCTGTTGAATTTAAAGAACTAGAACAAAAGTATACTAGTCAACTACGTCATTATGAAGAACGACTTATGCTGCAAACTCAAAAATATGAAAGTGAATTGCGGTGAGAAATTTTTTACTATGTTTATCTAATGTGGATTTGGTAAGCTTCAATTCATTTTGTAGATATTACATTATGAGTTCTCACTTCAAAAAATCCTTGTTCATTTTGACTTACTTTAGTCTCTTGTACGTTTAGTTGTTCCCCTTATTCAATATTGAATTTTGAATAATAGGGTACAAGCTATATCCCTACCATTGTGTTCATCAATGATGTAAACGTTTTTACATCTTCCATAGCATCTCCGTCAAGTGTGATTCGATTGGTGAATGCTGTGTTGTATCGGCGAATCTTGCTTTTCCCTTTGTGTGTGTTGAGACCTACTGCTGCTGAGGCTGCTGCTACACTGGTCGTCTTCTCCTAGATCGTCCAGCTGCATCCTAGCTATCCCATGCTTTTCCCCAGATGTTGACGCCTTCATGATCCCGGCGGTCACCAGGAGAAAGAGAAATGGTGAGAGTAAGCAACCTTGTCTGTCACCGGTTTTTACTTCAAACGAGTATGTGAGCTGTCCTCCATGCACGATTTTGCGGTTTAATCCATCATAAGAATTCCGTATAATGTTAACTATCTTCTCAGGCACGCCGTAGTGTCGAAGAAGCCTAGCATAGATGCATAATATATGCAATTAACTTGAAACCAAACATACAGAAAGAGGAAAACCGTCTGGCCATTCCAACATCAATTAAGCAGCTTCATTGTTGTTGTTTTTTTATTTTAGTCAAGAAAGAGAATTATGGGAGACAAAATTAGCCAGTATTATTCACGCAAACCATTCACCCACTCAAAACTCGTACAGGTACGAACAGACCTATGGTCATCGACGGAATTTCTCAATACCTGATAATTTGAATCCATTAAGCGTAAGTGTTTTGGTCCTCCAGTACTATTTAATAACAAACATTATAACGACATTAAATATAGTAAATGGTTTTTCACTAGTGACCTCAGTTCATAGTACACCTCTGTCAAGAATATACATCATTGTTGGTGTATTTTCTGTTTCGACAACTTTAATGTAACTGATTGATGTTGATTTCACACATACTTCTTTGATCCATCGTTTATTCTTGCTATTTATATCAATTATCTTTTTCGTGCTAGTTTGTGGCAGCTCATTGACACATAGCTTTGTCTGTCTTTGTTACTGAGAGTTAAAAAGCAGTTTAATGTTATTTTAAGTATTCAAAATTTTCATGCTACTTATACTAATGTGGTGTGTGCTACTAATGTATCATCAATCGAAAGTGAAATGACTGGCGGCAGAAGGTTAAGAAGATCGAAGAAAAGAGAATGATTGGTGTGGAAATTATAGAACAGTTAAGTCTGAGACGGTTGATTGACATTTTGCAATTGAAGTATTCACTATATGGTTCTCAGATTTTACTAAGACGTTCTGTAATTTTGTATTTGAATGCTTTCGATCGTCTCAAATTGTGCTCTCTTTCATTACATTAAGAGAACAGAAATATATCAACACAAGGTGCAAAACAGAAATAAATCAATAGTATATCTTACAATATCCATTTTTCATAAGTTTTGGAATATAGGGGAATATGTTGTTTGGTAGAATACTAATCAGGAGTCTTGTGTCTATGACTTAATTTCGTCAACAGCCATCTTTAAAAGAACTAAAGCAGATTCATAATTACAATGTTTACATAATGTATTCTACTAGTGCTTCGCTATTTTAAAGCCTCATATCTTTGAAAAAGTAAGATATATTTGGAAACTTCTGTATATAATAACGACACCTTATCTGGTTGTTGCATTCATTCCATCATCCATGTTACGGTACGAGAATAAAAAACGACTTATGAAATAAACCTTTAGACAGTCTCAAGTAAACCACATATTTGAACAATGGCGAATAGATTAGATAATTCAGATGAATCTCTCCACACCAATAAATACGGTTTGCATAGGTGATAAATAAACGCATTTGTTCTCAGAATCTAAATTAAGATAAGATTATAAATGCGCTTATCTTTGTCTTCGACTTTTTGTTTCTGAATATCTACTCGTTCGATAAACTTTACTCACTCTAATTCCTCTGTCATTGTCAAAACTTCTATGTTCAACACATCGAACTGTTTGAAAAGAGCAGGAAATTGGTCAGTTTTGTGGCATTATCATATCTATTTATTACTGTATTGTTTCGAAGCAGTGGCTTTTAATCAGAACACTCGACTTTGAACTAGTTACTTGTAAGTTGAGATACCGTTCCACTAAACTAGGTTTTCGCGTCGTGCGCTGCTAGGATCACTCCACTGCCAACACTAGTAGGTCACCATCAACTTTGCTGGTCTAGACTCCTGCTGCAACGCATCCTGTCAGTCCGCTGGACTGTCAACACCTATAACCAACCGCTCTGTTACGGCCCCTCACTCCATTTTCCCGTCGGCATTCTCTATGTTGGTATACACTGCCTTTGCCCTGCCTCCCGGCAGCGTCTCTAGCACCACCGTATTCACCGTGGGCTCCCCAACCCCGCAACATCCACACACTTCTTCAGGAAAGTCTCTACATCTCCTTCCTTAGACTTCGATGGTTACAGAATCTTCATTCTACGTAGAAACAGCGACACAAATTGTAAAGGATGAAAACGTGAACAAGCGAAAACTAGTTATGTCATCCAAAATTACACACTTCAGAATATGAAACCAATACATTAAATATACCGTTTGCATATCTTCCTTGAGTTATCCCTTACAAATTCCATCGTTGTGTCGTTCATGTTGTTACTCTGATTGCTCTCTGTTTTTGTTTTCTTGTTTTCCTTTTATGCCAGTAGGAATTCGATTTTCAAACCATGCTACATACTACTTATATCTATCCGTATAAGTAGCACACATCACAGTACTATCAAAAATAAGTGTGGGAAACTAGAGGAATAGTGTAATGATCATGATAAATAGCAGCTACAAGTTGAATATTAGTCGGATTGTAGAGTACATATACTACCTAGAGCATAGAAGCAACTCATATATTACTATAATTCACAGTAAAGTATCATTGTTCTGCAACAATTAGGGCTAAAATTAAGCAACTGTAGTAGACCTGTCTGATTCAGTGCATAACATCAATCCTTTATAGTTAGATCACTGTTTTAAGAAATTCCATGATTACATACTGTTCCTGTGATTGTGTAAGATGAGGAACTTAGTTGCGTTCATGTCAAATAATATAAAAGAATTAGTTTTTCATGAAATTTTTTTCAGGCAAACTCTCACCATAAAAGAGTTCAAGGAGATGGAGCCGATAATTCCATGATTTCCCCCGTGGAATCTGATACGGAATCGGATCATGCAGTTAGGAATTGCTCTCTAAGTCAGAGTGGCAGTGAGCATTATTCATTGGCAGATGAAGAAAACTATAAGAAGTCTGTACATCGAGTGAGTTATTTATTGTATTAGATCATTGCATAACTAAGTATCAGTTACAAAGTATAAAAGAAGCTTGCTCTATAGCTCAAGTTTTTCTGGATTGATAAACTTCTCTCCCAATCGGACATAACCAACATAAGATGGCGCCAGCTCAAAGGTATCTAAAAAGAGCAATCGTTTATTATTTTCTTCCTCGTATATACCATGATATTATGTACGCTCTTGAGTCTACCTAGACATACTACTCTGGCAAATTGATTATGATTGGAAAAACTAACCCCATTATTCCATATAGGCCTGAACATTTCACAAACGATTATATCGCATCCTGCTTCATTTACCAGTCCACATGTTTGTGTGGGTAAATAGGGAGCAATTATCGAATAATACAAATAAGGGTATCTAGATAGCTTCCGAATAAACATAAGAATTAGAAGACTATCAAAACGTATCAAAACATAGTTGAAATGTGTCAAAGAATTTACATTAACACAGCTTTTTAAACGTCGCATAGGAATTGCAAAGAACGGTTTCTCAGGTTTATAGAAGCCTTGGCTGTCGGGGAATTCAAACCCCGATTTATGTGTACAAAAACAATTTTTCTTAATGTTGAGCCTACTCCAATAATATTTAAGATATTTTACGGCCTGGGGTCGTGTGACAAACTCCTATTATTTTCTATATTATGTTAATTTGTAATAATGGGAGAGGGATACGGGGGATCTCAATGCTGTTCCGTATTTTTGTTTATATGAGCTTTTTCTACATGTGAAAAAAGGTTTAAACAGTTTTTAGAATTTTATAGTGTTTAATAAACATCATTTTTCGGTAGGCTACTTACGAAGTTTAGACACTTAAATATACAACATCATTGCTTACTATAGTTTCGTTCTCTAATGTAATTAATCCGAATGTTTTTCATTCGAAGTTGTAAGAATCCTAAATGGATGTGTATATTGATTGTTGATGGGGTTTAAATTTACTATCTAAGTATTTAAAGAAGGAATATTTCTCCACTCTTTTGCTTTTCATCTCGTTACATCTTCCTTTTACGGTTTTTATTTAAACTATATTTAAACGCTTTTGTATTTGGTTGTCTTGTCTATAATGGAACTTTTATCTAGTAATTACTTTTTATCCTGACATTCGTTTACTTTTTACTATTTTTCCCAATAACTAGCTACTCTATACCTAATCAGTACACAAAAATTAAATTTAACGTCTTTTTCAAATTTTGTCGCATTTATCGTCTGATCTTTTTTATTCTTTCTGTCTAGGTTTTTGTAAGCCAATGGACTTTAAGGTTCAGCTTCTACTTTTTAATCAATTTATTTCCCTGCAATTGTGTGAGAAATGATATTATAAATAGTTTCATTGGCTAACGAACAGATATCGAAAACTATTAGTTACCAAAATCATTATATTTCTGTATATTGTATTCAATATCATACAAATGTTTAGCTATGAACAGTAGCTTAGTTTTTCTAACACCTAAACCTTCAACCACATGTCTGAAAATTCAAATCCCCCCTATCTATTTCCAACTTGGCAATCGCGTAATATCACCTCTTGAGTTTCGACTGAACGAACACAGTTATTCACAACTCACTCGTAATACACCTAATTATTCTCTACCCTAGTTACCAGCAGTTGATATGACGAATAAATGCTCACTTTTGTTGAGTTATTCTATTTAACTTTAAGAATCAGCTTAACTCGAGTCATGAATTCAACCATTAAGCTACTACAATCTCCACAAACTTCCATTCTGATAAGAATGCGATTTATTGGGCTAGATTTAAATTGTAAACTTGGTTGAGTAATTCAAGAGTAGAGTTTTAAAAAAACCGATATAATCATTGTATTAGCAACTCCTAACATATCGTGTGGCTGACCCCTATTTGTTTGGTACAATTACAGATTGATTGATATTGAGGTTTAGATTGTATAGTTTTCACGATTAATCTGGCCATGGTCATTATGCTTACAATTAGCTGACAACCGATGGAAATTATCCCAAACCATTATACAGTAACAAACTCATACTTTAAGGCAAAATAACAAATTCACTAGTAACTTGAAGATTGTTTATGATTTTATATATATATCGGGTTTGATCTACTGTAAAACACATTGGACTGTTTTTCGACCAATTATCTTTTTTTCAGATCACCATACCTACTTTGGAACAACTTCTTAATCATCCAAATCAATATTCACCATCTGAAAATATGTCATCTCAGCATTCTGTTAAATCATTTCAAGAAGTTCGTAATGTTCAACCTAATCAATTAGCTGGTTTACAGTCTGCTTTAACCAATCAACAACGTCGAGTTGAATATCTTTCTGAATTGTTAAGTGAAAGTGAAACAAATGTAACTCGTTTATTTGAGCAAAACAAAGTGAGTATGGTATTGCATATTACATATTATTGTTATATTTTAAAGAATTAATTAATATAACACATTTTCATAGAACAAATAGTCGGGAAGGGTTCTTGGTATTTGTATGGTTGTTACACATGATTGAACTCTACTGTTCATACTGTAAAAAGCTTGGATGGTTTCTGGTTCTTAAATGTGAAATTGCTCTCTCATAGAGCATATTTATACTTGTAAAATTAATATACGCTAAGTTTATTCATATTCGATACACAGAAGTATTTTATGTAATAAAAATGATACCCAACAATGTAAGTACTTCCATTAAAAAATGCGAATACAATAATAATCCCCACAGCAAAGCGTAGAATTTGGTAAATTTGGAAAATTGATTGTAGGCTTCGAATTTTATCACTACGTGTGCTCTTCATATAACTCTGACTGACACAATTGTAGACTAAGTAACTTCACAGTTTTTTTCATATTGGCACTCTATCTTGGTATAAATTATAGCTTTCTATTACTGGAATAGTTAACTCTGAGAAATATTAAATTTTGTCATTGACTTGAGAAGATCATAAGTACAACTGTTCCATCTATGAGTTACAATTTAAACTGTTTAGGTATTTCATATTTGGCAACTGTATTCATTCACTTTGTGGATATAATTCAACCAGTCTAAATTCATTACTAACATCAAGTTTGTATTATAATCAAATCACTGACAGGTGGCTAACTATTTCACAGTTTATTACTTAAAAATATTCTCTACATTTCATTCAAGATAATATCTTAGTATTGATCAAATGAAAAATTTACTGGTTTTCATTTAGAATGTAAGTTTTAACAATCGATTTTTGTGAAGTATCTTGCAACATCTGTAAAAAAACCGTTATCTATGGATCTACCAAAAGTAACATATTTCACAGCACTCGCAACAACTTTGTTGTCCTTCGATCAAACAAATGTTTTCACTGAAACTTAAAGGATCGGCATTTTTCAATTTGGCTGTTACTATACAACCGTTTAAAACAATCCCTAGATATATACGAGGTGTTCTACTATCTCTATTGTAAATAAAGGTTCTCTCACCCCGAATTGGGTCACTTGACGTGAACAGTCCAAACTATACAACCTTCAAAACCATTGTCACTGTTGGGTATGAGTATAATCACACAATACAATCTGTTTCTTGTCGAAAATAATTGTCAGTTCATCAGCTGCGTGCGTAAATTATCATATGACTGGCTAAGATGATAAGACAACATCTACGTGGTACTTTTGTAACACCAACTCAGCAAATAGTTGATTTTGACTGTTTGCTTTTATCACTCCATCCAGAGAATAGTATTTGGGAATAAGAACGGTATTGCATAACACGAGAAAATTTGACACCAACTTACCGATGAAAAAATTAACCATTTTTTCAGCATTTGCCTTTGAAGAAGAGTGTAGGGCGTTAGCTGCTCAACAAGTGAATGTGTATACTCTGACCATGATGATTCCAGTGTGGCAGTTGTCGCTTAGCAGATTCATCAAAAGGATAACTTCAATATTTTCCCCTTTTTTAGAGGAAAATTTCAAGATTGCTTTCAAAAACTTAATATCATCTAAACTTACCCTTGGTTTAACGTGAAAGCAACAATAATATCAACAGCTTCTTAACTAGTGAATATCTGCCTCAATACTCATCACAGTAGCTTCTGAACACAACAGATCACTGATAAATTTTTCGATTGGTGGCGGTAGCAATAACTATAACGGAATTGTGACTGCATATATGTATTTGCGATTGTACAGCTTTGAAAATGAATTCGCCGAAAAGAGAACTCTTCGCTGTACTAATCTTTCTTATTTAATGCCTTAATGGGTGTATTCTGTTGATTACTTTTTACCAAAACGTTTACTAACATTTGTGGATATGAATCCTTTAGTGTTTTTATGTAACTGCTTAAAATGTGCTCTTCACGTAGTTGGATACTATAATAACTTCACGATTTTAATAGTAATAATGTAATTTTTAAATGATAAATGAGTTAAGTTTGTAATAATGACCATCAAAAGATTAATTATTTTAATCTAAAAACTTGAAAGTGCTCAGCAACTATCGATTCATATTTCGATATGTGTTATTTATCTAATAGATTAACTAGGTGGAGCGAGATATGACAGTTGTTCAGATTCAGCTGTTATTAATCAAATAATTCCAACTATTCAATGTAGGTCAGTTTATAGACGAAATTGGCCTACATAAATAAATCCATATTATGACCATTAATTTACTCTAGATTGCTTTTATTCTCAATATTCTATTAACTAATATCGATTATTGTTTCAAACAACTGTCATGTTAACTAGTAATCGACAATTCACCAATCATTATTAACTTCAATTGTATAGCTGATTTTTATTTAATTTAGGTGTTAAAAGAAGAAATTCGACGTCTTGAAAATAACTCCAATCCAACATTAAAAGTACAATGTACAGAAAATCAAGATATCTTGGAATCGAACAACTCTCTTCATAGTAACACTAGTGTACTTGTTGAACATTTGAAAGACATCTTACTGAAAGTTATAACACTACCCAAACAATCTTCAGAACGTAATCATCTCATGCGTGCGTTGGCTACATTTCTTTCTTTGAAATCAGACGAGTTTAAATTATTAGAAGAGGGTCTAAATCACAGTGTTACTTGTTCTACATCCAATCAACAACAAAATCTCTCTTCCAATTGGAGTAGTTATATCTCTGCAGTTTGGGGTCAGTAAAGAACAATATTAAAGAAGCAAAGCGTGCAATATTGCTTTCAAAATAACTTTCTGTGATAAATGTGTATTCTTAGCGACATATTTTTAACTTACTGGTTGTGTAATATCTCCCTATCAGAAAAATATTTAATGATCAAATCAACTTCGAATTTTTAATCTATGATTTTCTAATTGTGATCATTATAGCGTTCTCGTTGTTATATCACATCACTTGGAGTAACTCTGTTTGGTTATTTTTTAAAGTTAAAAGCAGTTAGTGTGATACACTCTGTATTTATCTAAACTATTTTTCATATGTATGCATTATTATCCTAACGCTTTGAGAAATCAGAAGTATTTTCTTCACTTTCACTCTTAAAAATTGGTTTTTTCGAAAGTTGTGGAGCATAAATTCCTTAACGAAAATATAATTGCATTATGTTACAAGAAATATATCTTACTCAATTCACATTTGGCACTTAATTTCTAGGATAACTGACAAAAAATACCTTCGCAATGTCGCTGCATAACAAAATCTTAAACGTAACAAGTGTTTCCCTTTATATTCTCCACTTGTGGTAATTGACTTTTTACTCTAATATAACTGAAGTTAGAGTACGATGTTTTACGCTAATGAATTGTAGTCTTAATGAGTTCTACTAACAAATAAATGGTCTTCTCAATAAAGTGCTTCAGGTCAATATTTGTAGTGCTAACAGGAGATTTAAATTTGCAGATCGGGCACCTAACTACGGGAAAGTAGCTTGGGGGGTCAACACGTGCTTGATGTTCGCAGGTCAGATAACAGTGACCCTCTCCTGATCGGACTACAGTCTGTTCGCGGCTAGGACCATCTCCTAGTGCAGTCACCTTCAATGTGCTGTCTAGCGTCCTGTTAGCAACTCAAGCCGGAATTCAGGATGATCTCACCAGGTTCGCCTATCTCTGGGGTAGTTGTGTACGAAACTTTCGACCTTTTTGGAATAACTATCCGGAACTGGATCATGCCCCGGTTTGCACCAAGCGTAACCTGAACTTTAGTGCCCAGCAAACATCTGGTCTTGAACTGACTGATACCATTAAATTGACTGTAACTTGTGTTACAACCGGATATCAGTGTAAGGTTCAAGACTAGCAGTCAGTTCACCGAAGAGTATGGGTGAGCATTGTGCGTCTTCATAAAGCCAAGACGCTTGCAGTTCAGCAAACTCCCGTTTATAAGCACTAGGTTTCTGTAAGCTCGCCCATCCACTCCGACGAACCTCCAGTTTGATGATACGCAGATTCTTAAGCGAGGGAACTTTGTGAAGTTGGCGAAGAGCCGAGAAACCTGTTAGTGTAAGCGTGCTAACGAGTTCGAAGCAACAACTGCATTTGTTAATGTATGGAGTTGTTTGAGCTCACTCGAACAATCGGCATAAAGTCTAGCGTGTGAACATTGTGAACTTAGTGGAACGCTAGTTAGCAACATCTTGTGTGATGGGGAGTTTTTTCAAGGAACAGTTCAACTGGTCTGTTGCGCCGACGAGAAACATCAATCAGACTGTCCTTCCTGGTCGATGACTGCTGATCCACTTAGTAAGTCGGAAATTAGTCAGGAACCTTAACTACTGAAGCCCCACGAGTTGCCAGGTCCATGCAATCTAATTACGGCTCATTTTAAGGATAGTAGTAAAATCATATTCCAGTAACTGACTGGATTGTTTGGAAAGTTTTGGGAATCGGAGTATTCTGATATCCCTGAATATAATAATCTATAACCTGTCAAAATTCGTTATCATTGGAAAAACGTGAATTTGGCGTAGCGAATTCGAAAGTATTATCCTCAGTAGTCCAGGGTTATAAGAATAGGTCACATTGGTTCAGTTTGAAAAAAAACAAGAAAGCTAAAATACTTATTCAGGAAAATACATGTCACTTTTGTGCATATTAACTGTCAGCTATGTACTTAATTATGCAGGTAAACTCAGCCCAAAGTGTGTGGCCTGATTTCGTTTGACTACTATGTAGAAATTACTATAACCTCAGTACGTCTGTTACTAATTTGTCGCATTCTCCACTAACGGTTAATGTCTGTTCCGCCTTTTTTCGAAATGACTATAATCATTTGCTAATTCTGTATAAATTTCACTAAAGCTTCACATAGATTGGCTCAACAATAATACGGGAAGTGCCCGAATAAAATGTCTGTAATCAAAATAAATCGTACAGGAGCCACTCAAAAATTGAATATTCATTGTAGCCTAGTGTGTTAGGGAAATACGGAACGACAAATCAGTGGCCTGACCACCTTATGTACTTTACTCAAATATACTTGCCTACGCATGTTACAACTAGTGGAGCATAGGTCGCCCACCAGCATTATCCATAGAACTCTGTCCTGGGCAGTCCTTTTCAGATGCTATTTATTCTTTTGACGTTTGCCTCGAATTTTGACACAATGTTGTCTTTGGTCTTCCACATTTCCTTTTTCATTTCAGGATTCTAAGTTAGGGCTTGCCTCATAATCTAGCTTCATTTCCATAATGTATGTCCTATCCACCTCGAACGTCTTTGCCTATTTTTTTTCAGCTGGAAGTTGGCTTGTTCTCACAGTAGGTGGTTGCTGGCGATATCCGGCCAACGGAAATTGAGTACCTTGCTTAGACAATTGTTTAAAAATACTTGTACGTTTTTGCTGGTTTTCAGTAGTTTTCTACGTTTCAGCTTCGTATAATAAAACTGCGTTGACGTCGATATTGTAGGTACTGACTTTGATGTCGGCCAACAGTTGTTTTTAGTTTTTTATATTCTTCAAATATAGGGATGCTGCCCAGGTACGTAAAACTTTACACTCCTTGCAGAGCTTCTCTATCAAGTGTGATTGGGTTGGTGCTCTGTGTTTTATTTCAAAATCCTGCTTTTTCGCTCGTGTGCGTTGAGGCCTGTTACTGCAGAGGCTGCTGATACACTGGCTGTCGACACCTGCATTTGTCGTTGTATATGGGATAGAAGGGCCAGGGCGTCTGCAAATCCCATAATCTCTAGTTGTGTCCAAGCAGTCCATTGTATTCCATGCTTCCTCTGATGTACAAATGTCCTAATAATTTCGTCAACAATCAGAAAAGATGAAAGTAAGCAGCCTTGTTTGATACCGCTCTTCACTTGGAATGTATCTATAAGCTATCCTCCATGCACGACTTTGCAGTGTAGTCCATCGTATAAATTCCGTATGATGTTGATGATCTTCTTAGGTACACCATAATTTCGAAGAAGCTTCCATAATATTCTTCTACCCACACTGCCAGACGCTTTGTCATAATCGAGGAGGTTGATGTGACAACTTCCATTCAAGTGATTGCTCAACAACGATCCGTAGTGTCAATTTACTCAAATATAATAGAACAAAAATCCTTTTTGGAGTGCTTTCAGTGCATATTATTTTATAGTAAACAATGGAATTGAAAATTTGCTATATTCGTTAACAAAACAACCAATTATTATTAGTATCTGCCAATCAATACCTAAAAATATTCCATCCAGACAAGTGAACGCTATTCCAAATTTTACAACACGTGGAACAATGCGTCTGCTAAAAATATTTACGCATAACTTAGGCATTGTACTCCATTTACATGCCTGAAATGAATACCATCGTATTCATTCATTCATTCATTCTTTTGAAACAGCGGAATAAACAAAAACTTTATATGATAAAAGAAAATATTTTTAAGAAATTTTTTCAAAACAAAAACTTATTTAAAATAGTCCAATCGACAAATAGTAATTAATTGAAACATTGTGTAGGGAAATAAAGAGAATAGATTAAACTTTACCTATAAATGGGTCATTACAACAAAAACCTATTGCTTGTCATTAAAGTGAACAGAAAAAGAGTGTGTAGTAAGAACAAGATAGATGAAAGAAATATCTGCCAAATCATCAACTTGTTCATATTGGTTACGAGGAAATCAAGGTCAAAAGATCATATATATGTATATACCAATGTGAATCATTATTTAAGCAAAACAAGAAAAAAAACTATATCAACGACAATTGATTCGTATCAGTGTAATAGAAAAACAATATTTGTGAGATTGTGGGTAAGTGAAGAGAAAAGACGCTAGAAATACAAACATTTTTTACATACATTTAAAACGGACTACTGGAATTAAAATGCTGTCCCGATAAAATAAAAGATTTGAATTAATATGGTAGAAAATTTAACATGAATTATAATGTCAAACATTTGATTATTCATTTTTAAATATATCACAGTTGATCTATGGGAACAACGAAATGTATAAGGTGACATGATAATTTGTTTGTATTTTCTATAAGATATGCACGTTTGACGACAGTCAAATTCATCCAAACTATCAGACAGTTAGTTGACAAATTTTATGGATTCAGTGGACTTTTGCCAAGATATAATGAAGTTAACTGACTTTTAACCTGAAATTGAGACGAATAAATATATCATGTATTGTCAATGAACTTTTAAGATTGGTAGAAATCAGATTTTATTTAGCAAAGTTCGAGTAGTAATCGAGCGTTAGGAATTTACGCTAAAAAACAAAACCTGTTAACATATGAAGGGAGACAAAGTTAGGGAGGGAATCAGTGACCCTGTATGATCTTTGTATAGCCCAAAAAATGACAAATATTAATAAGTGGGAGGTCACATATTATGTAATGAATCAAAAGTCGACTACAAAGTTTTGAAATTACTAACAATATTGAGAAATTTTAATTTAAGTACATTGAGGTAAAATAAATAGACAATTTAAACTTTTGTGAAAAAAAATACACATGGCTAAGAAAAATACAAGACTTCAATGGTATGTATAAAACTTAAAAGCCTTGTCTTTGCCACTAACTGAATTTATCTGGTTGACCATTGACGAGGACGGCAAAGCACTATAAGGCAATGTCGTTATACTTTGTAACTTGTTAATGTACACCAATGAGGAATACGACGAAAGACTTTAAGGACTCACGATAAGAACAATATCTGTATCGTAAAATAACTGAAGTTGGAAATATGATTACTGGGCTTCGATTCATTGGTCTACAGCTATTATCAAAACCTAAAGGCAATGAGTTCGATCCCTAGTGAACTCGCCAGTTCGCGTCGTTGATGAGATCTCAACTACGATAAAATAGATTTCTACTTCATATTATTTTTTCATGGCTTTCCAGTTGATTTCAGTTTATGATGAAAACTATACTGAATGTGTTCTAACATTAAAAAAAAACATAAACACATCATACGTTACCTGAGATAAATACATTTCATTGTTTGGTGCCACGTTGTTATTTGCTGAGTGAGAAACGAAATTCCCAAACGTTTGATTTGGTAATGCTTGATTCATATTCATATTCCATAACTGAGATAATGTGTTCGTGCATGGATTACTAGGGTTGGAGTTTAAGGTATTACTGAAAGCAAACGACTGATTCGGACGAACAATGTTCTGATTCGGTTGTGTTGCAATAGATGAGCATGCGGAGGTATTATTTTCAGGCCAGACAGCGAAATTAGGTGACGGAGGCTTGTAAATTCAAAACAGAAAGAGAAAAACAATTAATTACAATATGAAAAGCCACAAGTCAAATGTGTTACATGGGGAAATCTCAGAACATGAACTGTGTTGTTATGAACAACATTTAGTTGCTTAGTGATTAAAATGGTAGGCATTCAA